AATAACAACTTATCTATACCACACCCATCTGGCTGGGCTTCCCCAGCCACTCTGGGAGGCTTCCAACAAAATATTAAAATACAGTAATGCATCAAACATTAAAAGCTTCTCTAAACAGGGCTGCCTTCAGATGTCTTCTAAAAGTCTGGTAGTTGGACTAGATCATCTAGTCCAATCCCCTGCCATGCAGGAATTTTTCACCCAAAGTGGGGTTGGAATCCATGACTCTGAGATTAAGAGTCTCACGATCTTCCAAGTTGTACATACACCCTCTGTTTCTCTCAAAAACAATTTAATAAATATATTTTCAGTTTGTTTATTAAATGTATATCTCATTGCACTTCCTGAAGGACCCAAAGAAGCAATACTTGAGCCCATACCTAATTTTTCATTGATTACATATAACAGCACACAAATAATAACAGAAAATAAAATTAGGAAAATCAAAAAGTACCTTATGTTATATATGCAATTCTGAAGCGATTTTCAACTGACAAGGCAACAAATCAAAATGAACTCAACAAATAGTAATATTTTCCTTAAGAACAATTTTATAAATCAACATTTTCAGTGGATATAATTAATTCGCAATTAATACATAATGGATAAAGTATTTTACAATGCTTAAATTAATTTACCATAAATTTGGCAATTGGGTATTGGTGTTACTTGGTTTACATTTGATGTTGCAATAAAAAGTAAAATGTTCCTGGTTACTGATAAAGGTAGACATAACATACTTTCCCAGTGGATCATAGTGTACAATTGCACTTACCTTGCCTAGAATAATTGTACTTCATACTTTTTGGCCTGGGACAAAGGCTCCTGTTCAGTCTAAATTGCAATAAATAAGATAATCCAATTGTATAAGAATGTGAGTAGCTTATATGATAGAATTAGTAGTTAGGTGGTGCACCTGAAATATCTGGTAGAACCATTTTATATGTGCATTATTACATTTAGAAAAATGTTGCTCCCCTGAGAGAAGCTGACCTTTATCTAATAAGCCCATAATTGCATGTAGACCTCTGTTTTCCCATGTTGCAAATTGATGACATTTTTCCTTGTCAAAGAATAACAAATGATTTTAAAGCTGGGATTAAAGGGGAAATTGGAGGGGCTAGCTTTTGTGCCCAGTTCGTCCATACTTCGAAAATAGCTTTTGCAAATGGATTAATAATGATAACTAAATTACATAAAGCAGACGGAAGACAGGGAAGAGCTCTCAAGGACAAACGCTGGAGGCCATGAGTTTCCATAAGCACCCAATGCTGTGAATAGTTATTCCAAATGACATGAATCAATTGCTTCAACTAGAGAGCATTGTTACACAATTGCAGCTTGATTGCTCAAAAAATGCCATTCCTAGTGTGCCTATTAAAAGCACTCGTTTTTAAATGGCGCATATATATATATATATATATATACACACACAGTTAATAAATTGTTTGCTATTTTTTAAAAAAGATGGTGAAATATAAATCAGAAGTACTGTATGTGAAAGATAAAATACAATCTTGGAGTTCAAATAATTCTTTATAGCAACTGCAAAATATTTAATTCTGCGGTCAACAAACAGCAACAAAACCTGCACATTTCACTGTATAAGGTAAATTATTATCTTGTGCTTGTGAATTCTTATCCCCCATGCCTTACTCCTCAAAGGATAACAGCATTCTATTTTGTTGTCAGTTTTGTATGAGCCCCTAAAAAAGCACTTTTCCCATCACATCTTTTGCCATATAAGCTTTTGCCATTGTTTGTGCATATGCAGCTCACTGTTTCCTCTGTGTGCACATTTTTGTGCCTTTGTTCACACATCAGCCCTTTCAATTTTATGCCTATGAAATCTATCTTGATGTTTCCCATCCACACCAGCTCTGCTTGGTGGGATGTGGTTGCGCTGCGTGTTATTGCCCCCTACCCTTGATTAGCCTGATCATACAGTTCCTACCCAGGGTGAACTATCGTTAATTATAACAGTGTGCAGCAACTGCGAAGAAAGCAAATTCCATGTTTGGGATCATTGGGGAAAGGATTCAAAATAAAACTGCCATCGTCAGACTTACTTTTCTTATTTTACAGTGTCTCGAGTAAGAAACCAATACGTTGCTTAAATCAAGCAGAGCTTTAATCAGAATTCCATGTGAGGGGCCATTAGGAAAGGAACTGAAGATAACGCCGCCAAGATAATGCCATTACAAAAAATCTATGGTGTGAAAACACTAGGAATGCTGTGTATAGTTCTAGTTGCCTTATTTCAAAAAGGATACTGGAAGAGGGCCGGAAAAGTGCAACCCAAATTATCAAGTGGTTTAGTAAAAAGGCAACTAACAGGGAATATGATAGAGGTATGTAAGGTTTTGTATGCTGCAAAGAAAGTGAAGTGAGATAAGTTTTCCTCTTCTCTCATAACACTATGAGCTGAGTGTTGGAAGATTCAGAACAAACAAAAGGAAGAACTTCTTCACGCAGTACATCGTTAAACTATGGACCTTGCTTCCATTGGATGTAGTGGTGAGGACCACCAATTTGGCTTGTTTTAAAGGAGAATTAGACAAATTAATGGTCTATCAATTGCTACTAGCCATGGTGTCTGCCTCCACTAACAAAGGCAGTACAGGCAACATCCTATTTACGTAGGGATTACATTCTGGGTCATCACGCAGAGCATACATAAACCCATTCCACCCTCTTCCAGTGCCGAACACGGCCCACGGTTGTGCATGCATGGTACATGCACAAATTGAGAATTGCCTGTGTTCTAGCAGCTGGGTAAACCAGTGGGAAAAGTGCTATTCTGCTCAAGTCATGCTTTCAGGCTTTCCTTAGGCATCTGGTCAGTCACTGTGAAAACAGCATGTGGACTAGATAGGCCTTTGGTGTGATCTAGGCTCTTCTTATATTCGTAACATTGCAGTGGATATTTACCAAAAATAACATTAAAAAGTTGAAGCAGGTTAACTTGTTTTCAAAGGCAGTACATTAATGTCATGGGAAACAAAATAATGTCTCATATTGCAATCCATTGCAACTTGTTAGAGATATGGAATTAAGCAATTTGAAATAGAATATTTCTTATAGGGCCTCATAGCCTATATACCAGTATACAGCTTTTCATTTTAAAGTACAACTGGCTGCTGATACATGTTTTAAACTGTTGGCAATTATGTTTTCTATTACATCTTCCACCAAAAATATGGCTTAATTTACCTTTAAAATACAGTCAAGGCAAAGCCTTGCTGAAGAGTAACAGAGTGTTCTATGCCTGAAGAAGAGTCTTCAGGAATATGAAATAGTTGAGGGAGGTCAATATGAGAGAATTGGGCTCCTGCAGCCACGTCCCCTTTTCCATCTGAAGTTTATTGGTGCATGTTCTGAAATTCTAGTTTTGTGTCAGAGATTGGCTGGACACTGAGGAGGGGTGGCTGGATACTGATGAGTGGGCACCAGGAGAAGGGAAGTTGGAGACTGACTTGGAAGAAGGGATCAGTAATCTTGGGGAGCCTATTACAACCGGGAGGTGAGAGTTAGAGGCAGGAGAAGCTGCAGGATTGGAGAGGGAAGAACAGGTGCAGAGGGAGAGATAGGTCAGGCTGGTATAGAGTCACGGCTTCCATGCCTCCTCCTCCTGCCCCCATCTCTCCTGCCTCACTGTCTCCCAGGACAAGAAGAGGATTGAAGCAGAAGGAACAGAAGCAGGTTACTTGGAGGCGGAGTCTTTGCCTGCTTGTGCGCAGCTCAGGTGGGGAAGATACATAGTGTAAACTGAGGTCAGGGACAGAGCCTCCCTGTGGCTGTAACTGCCTAATTGGGTGCACACTTAGAAGTAGCTGAAGGACGTAGGACTTTTGGACATACCTTTCCCTAACTTGTAAGTATACTTTTGACAATAAAGTGTTAATTCCTCACTCTGTACATTCCTTGTCTGAGAGCTCCATTAATTTTTGTAGAGATTATGTCAGGGGTCAGCAACCTTTATCAGCCATGGACCGGTCCACCGTCCCTCAGACCATGTGGTGGGCCGGACTATATTTTTTTAAAAAATATGAACAAATTCCTAAGCCCCATATCCTAAGCCCCCCATCCAGGGATGCATTTTAAATAAAAGCACACTTTCTGCTCATGTAAAAACACCAGGCAGGCCCCACAAATAACTCAGAGATGCATTTTAAATAAAAGGACACATTCTATTCATGTAAAAACACACTGATTCCTGGACCGTCCACAGGGCGGATTGAGAAGGCGATCTGGCCCACGGGCCTTAGGTTGCCTACCCCTGGTTTAAGTGCTTTTTCAAAACATTGAATAGAGGAGAAAAATAAAAGCTTAGCACATTCCCACCTTTCAATCAGTTTCAGAACCATGGACTCTTTAGCACAATTCAGAAGAAACTTCCCAAATCACATTGAAAGCTAAGTAATTTTAACATTTATGTGAGGAATTAAAACCAATGGGATTTATGTTTCTGGTTTTAACCCCCTTATCTCATTTGGGAAGCCCATATGAGCCCAAAGGAATATGTTTCTACCCTACTGGATCGGCCTCAAATCAATCCCACCCAAATGCTATTGGAATCTACAACAGCAACCACGCCGGCCATTGGCCATGCTAACAGGGCTGATGAGAAGTAGAGTGTGACAACATCTGAAAGGCCACTGTTTCCCCATCCCTGAACTAACCAGCATTCTCCATGGAAATCAGTGGGACTTACTTCCAAATAATGCATATATATATATATATATATATATATATCAGAAGACATAGCCCCAGTGTGAGACTGGCGTGAGAACTTGCAAGTTCTTGCAAGTCTTGGATAACATCTTAAGAGACTATACAGGATGCTAGAATGCACGTTATATTAATACACAGGAGAAAGGCAGTAATCTCTCTCTATCTTTCTGTTTCACAGGCTTCTGCTATAGGCCTTTGCCCGTGCATCCTGATAATCTGATTAGGAGATTTTGTTGAGCAACACTTCTTTTCCTAACACTGTGACCATGGCTGTCCTGAGAGTAAAATTCACCAAAACCAAGAGAGACAAATTGGCTCAAATCCTGTGGATCCTCAACTGGATTTCTGTGGTGTCTGGTGTAATTCTGTTCAGCCTGGGACTTTTCCTGAAGATCGAACTCAGAAAGCGAAGTGAGTTGATGGGCAAAGGGGATATTAACTCTGTCCCCAACATGCTAATATCTGTAGGGGTTGTAGCATGCATCATCAACTTTCTTGGAGGTAAAATCTGCTATGATTGCACAGACTCCAACAAATTCAACCGATGGAAGTTGTTTATGCTCCCTTATATTGTTTGCACGTTCTGCTTCACCTTCTGCATTTTGGTAGGTGCTGTCATGTGTTATACCATGAGAAATGAACTGGAGGAATCTCTGTATCTGGGGCTGAGGGACGCTATTAAGTTCTACAAGGACACAGACATTCCTGGAAGGTGCTTTTTAAAGAAAACCATTGATATATTACAAATCAGATTCCAATGCTGTGGAAACAATGGTTTCAGGGATTGGTTCGAAATTCAGTGGGTCTCAGTTCGCTATCTGGATATGGCTTCAAAGGATGTTCAAGAGTAAGTATTAAATGTATAATATTTTTTGATGTTGTCTCACAAAATCAGTTTTGGTTGAGCAAATGAATCTGAGTATATAAGAAGAAGAAGAGTTTGGATTTGATATCCCGCCTTTCACTCCCTTTAAGGAGTCTCAAAGCGGCTAACATTCTCCTTTCCCTTCCTTCCCCACAACAAACACTCTGTGAGGTGAGTGGGGCTGAGAGACTTCAGAGAAGTGTGACTGGCCCAAGGTCACCCAGCAGCTGCATGTGCAGGAGCGGAGACACGAACCCGGTTCCCCAGATTATGAGACTACTACCGCTCTTAACCACTACACCACACTGGCTCCCAACCGGGAAACACTAGGGAATGCCATGGTAGCCTAGAGAAAGCAATGAATTTAAGAGCAACCCAACTGAATCAGGCCAAAGGCTCATCTCCTTCAGCATCCTGTTCTTTGAGTGGCCAACCAGATGCTTATGGGAATCTTACAAGTAAGACCTGACTGGAACAGCAGTCCTCCCACTTATGGTTCTCAGCGACTGATATTCAGAGGCATGCTTCCCCTGACAGTGGCTAGCCTTATCTGTCATTGTTTTGCTTAATCTTCTTTTAAAAAACCATCCAAATTTGAGTTCATCAATACATCTTGTGGTGTGGAAGCAAATTCCATAGTTTAAATATATGCCCTGTGAAGAAGCTCTTTTTTTTGGTCTGTCCTGAATCTTCTACCATTCAGCTACATTGGATGGCTCTGAATTCTAGTACTATATGAGAGATAACGACTTCTCCCTCTCTACGCCATGCATACTGTTAAACACTCTGTCATGCCCTCCTTAGTCACCTTTTCTCTAAACTAAAAAGCCCCAAATGTTATAAGCTTTCCTCATAGGGGAGGTGCCCCAGTCCTTGATCGTTTTGGTTGCCCTTTCCCAGCTCTATAATATCATTTTTGAAGGGAACCATCCAAGACGGTAACCAGGCAGGAGTGAAGTAGAGGCATAATTACTCATGGCACACAGTGATGCTGTTAAACTAATAAAGCAAATGTATTTAAATAGGACAAATATAATTTTAAAGAGAAGCGCCTAGTCTGTTGACATATAGAAATAAACAAAACCATTGTAAACTATTTAATGATCCCACTCTATTAGTCCAAAGACTTACATGGCTGCTTTCAATTTTAAAACAGTGCTAAAAATAAATCAAAACACACACAATAAATATTCAGAAGCAGCATCACAAACAAGGAAAAACCACATTCAGCTCAAGAGTAAAAGACCTAAAAGGCCTGGGCAAATGAAAAGGACTTCAGTTGTGTCAAAGAGACATTATGGTCAGCGCCAGGCTAGCTTCACTGGGGGGGACTATTCTACATCCAGGCTGCTGCAATGGATGTAGAAGAAGGTGGGGGAATTCAGTGAAAGATATATGAGGAAGAGCTTAACAGCTGGGCAATTTCATGCAGAATAAGAGGGTCCTTCAGAAACCCAGGTCTGCACTGCTTGCAAATTGAAAAGAAATAAACTTATTGGAAACAAACCAGCAGCCAATTCAGCTGTAAAAGTGATATGTTTATGAGCTGTTCTACTAGTTGCCTAGTTAGGGATCTTGCTACTCTATTTTGCACCAAGTGAACTTTCCATTTTCCAGAGGAATAGCTAAGCTAGTTTGTTACAGCAAAAACAACATCAACCAAGTACTGTGGCCACTTAAAGACTAACAAATGTATTACGGCATCGGTTTTTGTGGACTACAGTCCACTTCACCAGATGCATGAAATCTGTATCTGTAACACAGGAGAAGACTGAATTCATCTGGACGGTTAAATCCTGTCAAAGGCGACACCTTTAAGCACATTTTAAACACATTGTCCCCCCTCAAAGAATTCTGGGCACTGTAATTTGTTAAGGATTGCTGGGCATTGTAAGGGTAAACGACAGTGCCCGGAATTCTCTGAGGGGAGGAAATGTGCCCTGAATGTGCTTTAAGGATGGAGTGTGTCCACACTAGCAAGCTGACCTATTTACTACTCTCACAGTGTCTATTTTCCACATCTTTGTTGCAGCCGCCTAAAAAGCAACGTCGATGGGAAGTTCTTGGTGGATGGAGTCCCCTTCAGTTGTTGCAACCCAATCTCACCCCGGCCCTGCATCCAGTATCAGCTAACAAACAATACAGCTCACTACAACTATGATTTTATGACAGAAGAACTTAATATTTGGATGAGAGGATGCAGGGAAGCCCTACTGGATTATTACACTGACATCATGAGATCCATCGGTATCACTGTGCTCCTCATCTGGTTGTTTGAGGTAAAATATTACAGCACAACTTTCAGAGCTTCTTGTTTCGCAAGTGCTATGATGAATGCAGTCCTCCAGGCCTTTCTGTCTGACCCTTGAGGCTCTCCATAGGCAATGGCCCTCACTGGACCTGATGTGTTTAAGCACCATAAATGCTTTGGGCTGACTGGAATGTGCCCTTGAGCTGTGGTGCCTCTTGTTCGGCTGGACAGAGGGGTGTGGGTGTGTAGAAATATGAATAGATTTGAATTGTTGGTTTTTTTAATATATATATATATAAATTGAATTGTTGGTTTTTAAAATATATATATAATTGAATTGTTGGGTGTGTGTGTGTGTGTGTGTGTGTGTGTGTGTGTGTATCTCACTGTTTATGGAGGAAGTAACATGCAGTATTAAATATTCATCAGGCTTTAAAGTAGATAAGAATAAGATTCCTTAAAATTCATCAGCTTGTTCTTTTTTGGGGGGAGGGAACAGGACGTTCCAGCAACACACCTCTCCTTTTCACGGTCTCCTTTAATGTAGGGCAAATAACAAGACTGTGACAAATAAAAGCTTCTTATGTCTGATGATGCTCACAAGTAACAGTGACCTTTTGAGTCTGGGGCATCCAAAAATACCAGCAATTTTATCCCTTACTATGCTTGCTGTAAAGCTACATCAAGACAGAAAAGGTTCTAGCTGAAGACTAAAAGCACAATAACAGTAGCCTCGCCACTAGATAATTCCTAAAATTTTCAATTGGCATTGGGACAAAGTCTAAATTACCTCAGACTTAACTTTCTGAAAACAATTAAGGGTCTCAAATGTGTGTACCTGGGGTTAATACATTCAGATAATGCACAGAAAGGTGAACCAAAAGGAGATATTATAATAATAATAATAATAATAATAATAATAATAATAATAATATATTTATATGTCACCCATCTGACTGGGTTGCCCCAGCCACTCTGGGCACCTTCCAATAAGTTAAAACATAGTAAGACATCAAACATCTGAAGGCAGCCCTGTATAGGGAAGTTTTTTTTATGCTTGATGTCTTCTAAAAGTCAGATAGTTGTTTATTTCCTTGACATTTGATGGGAGGGCGTTCCACAGCGCAGGCGCCACTACCAGGAAGGCCCTCTGCCTGGTTCCCTGTAACCTCACTTCTCGCAGTGAGGGAATCACCAGAAGGCTCATGGAGCTGGACCTCAGTGTCTGGGCTGAGCAATGAGGGTGGAAACACTCCTTCAGGTATGAAGGGCCGAAAATGTACGAAAGGGATTGAGGCAGAAAATACTCAAAATCAGTGTTGTGTTATATGTTCCTTTCTGGCTCTATCTGGACATGTTGGGGATTGAACCTGGTATCTTCTGCATGCAAAGTAGATGCTCTGTCAATGAGCCTTAAAGGTAAAGGTAAAGGTACCCCTGACCATTAGGTCCAGTCGCGGACGACTCTGAGGTTGCGGTGCTCATCTCGCTCTGCGTTTGTCCGCAGACAGTTCTTCCGGGTCATGTGGGCAGCATGACTAAGCTGCTTCTTGCGAAACAGAGCAGTGCATGGAAATGCCATTTACCTTCCCACCGGAGTGGTACCTATTTATCTACTTGCACTTGACATGCTTTTGAACTGCCAGGTGGGCAGGAGCTGGGACCAAACAACAGGAGCTCACCTCGTCGCAGGGATTTGAACCGCCAACCTTCTGATCGGCAAGCCCTAGGCTCTGTGGTTTAGACCACAGCGCCACCCGCGTCCCTCAGTGAGCCATATCCCACCCTTTATGTAAGATAAAGCATGACACCACCTAGCTGCGCTGGTAGCATGCTTCACTTGGAAATCCTCATCTTTTAGTGTATAATAAAATTTGAGAAAGCCAAGAAATTCATTGCTAAAATATTCCATTAAGCCTAACATTAAAACATTAATAGTAAATAATTTAAATACAGTACAAAGAACAGAATTGCAACACTAAGCAATTCCAGTTCCCAGTGGTCATAATAGTATTCTTAATAAGCGTTTATTTCTTTTTTTATTGGTTAATGGTTTGTAATGTTAATTTGGTTCTTTTTCTCTCTCTAGCTGTCTGTGCTTACTGGAGTTCGTTACCTTCAAACAGCAATGAGGAATGTTCTCCTCCTGGGTGATCCGCAGTGTGACTCAGATGGTTGGTTGCTTGAGAACAGCTTTGTAGAAACTGCCAAAAACAACATCAACATCATTAAGAATCTTGGCAAGGCTAATCAGATATCAACGGTTTCAGGGAATGACCCTAACATGGACATTAAAACTGCAAACCACGGTCCAGAGAATGTTCCAACAAAATCAATCCCCACAGCTTAACTGGATGCAGCACTCAAGACTTCTAATATGGTTTGGCATCACAGTCACTACTGTGCATTTTTGCTGTGCGTTTTTCCCCACAGGTGAGAATAAAATGAAAATCCAAAGAATGGAATCAGTAAATCACATCCTGGTAACAAGACAAAACATGAGAACTTCTGGCAGAGGGTAGAACTTCAATGTACTTACCCAGTTTCTGAATTTACAGTGTTACCTAGTTCTACACAGTTCTTCTCTCTCTCTTTTACAATGCACATAGAATGATGGTTTGGAATTTGCAATGTTTCCCCCCCTTCTTTTACTCTAAATATGTTATGCCCAGTGTTTATGAAATGTGAACACCAGGAAGATAACTGCATTGCTGTATGAAACAGACTGAACACTATATAGCTTTAGGAGTGGTGGGTTTTTAAATCATTTATCGCTCAGTCTTTTTGTAGGTCAAGTTGTTCCTATATTTTGCAGTGACTGTACCTGCCTAAAGCACAGCTTTCTAAAATTCCCAAGTCCACTTTCTGCACTCTCGTCACAAAAAAAGCTTGTTATATCATCTGAATATATTTTATCTTAATGTGACAGAAGTATCTTTATTCACTTAACTGCTGTAAGGCTGCCTTAACTGAATGCAATTTATTGTCACTGTAAGTTTTGAACTTACAACGCTTCAAACCTGCTTCTTTAACAGGTTTTTCCATCTCCGCCGTATTAAGCAGTTGGCCCCTTACCTTTCTCGCCCTGATCTGGCCACAGTGATCCATGCGACGGTCACCTCCAGGCATGATTATTGTAACTCGCTCTACGCGGGGCTGCCTTTGAAGCTGACCCAGAAACTCCAGCGGGTGCAGAATGCTGCAGCGAGACTCCTTATGGGGTCCTTGCCACGGGATCACATTCACCCAGTGCTTTACCAACTGCACTGGCTCCCTGTGGAGTACAGGTTCAAGTTTAAGGTGCTGGTTTTGACCTTTAAAGCCCTACTCGGCCTAGGACCCACATACCTACGGGCCCGTCTCTCCTGGTATGCCCCATGGAGGACCTTAAGGTCCACAAATGACAACACTTTGGAGGTCCCAAGCCGCAAGGTGGTTAGATTGGTCTCAACTAAGGCCAGGATCCTTTCAGTTCTGGCCCCAACTTGGTGGAACGCTCTGTCACAAGAGACTAGGGCTCTGCGGGACTTGACATCTTTCCACAGGGCCTGCAAGACAGAGCTGTTCCACCTGGCCTTTGGTTTGGACTGAGTCTGACCCTTATGTTTCCCTCCCCTTACGGTTTTGATCCATGGGCTACTTTTAAAATGAGGCTGCATTTAAAATTGCATTTTAACCTGTATTTTAAATTCCTCCCCCCCTTATGTTTTTATTGTAATTTTACTGCTGCTAGCTGTCCTGAGGGCGGGGTATAAATAAATTTTTATCTGGCTGGGGAGGGCGGGGTATAAATAATTTTTTTTATTATTAACTTGTAATTTAAAGCAAATCATTCAGGGCAGTTATAGATTTGCATTCTGAAATAGGGCTCCCTCATAAAGGTGCTAAAGTGAATAAAGGTTGGCCTCAAATCCCAAACGAATAATGAAGTTAGAGAGAGAGAAAGAAGGTTCCAGGAACAGAAATGAAACCACAGTGGACCTTACAATATAGAATTTAGCATAAACTAAAATATGTGCATGTTGTGAGTAACAATTAGCAGATAGCAACTTTGCAGTATGTAATTCAGAACTAGGTATCAAATAAAAACACTTTCAAGTCTTTATAGATATTTATTAGCAATGGTAACTAAGTGAATAAAAAATTCAATGCTTTTTTTCTAGAAAAATAGGTGCCGGTACTCACCATGAAGTTGTTACAGTAAGTGCCACACTTTTTAACAACAAAAAGAGGTGCCGGTACTGCGTACCATCGAGTACCCCTGGGGAAAACACTGGTTATGCTGCTAGGTACCAGTAGCTCATAATTTAAATTTTGAAAATATGCGAATGCATTAATATTTCACTCTGCTCTTTTTCAAAAAATCCCAGAAGTTACAGACTGAAAAAGAAAGCGATTATGCTCTCTATATTATCAAAAACTATATTAGTATAGTTTTTGTAAATATAATGTTTGGTTTGCACTTGCAAAGGGTGAAAATGTCCAAATAAAATCAATCCATTTAAATTACATGAAAGTGTACATGTGTGTGTGTCCATTCCTTCTTCTACAAGGATACCAGGAGAAATTCCACCCTGATTCCTCCTGCACAAGGGGCCATTATGATCATTTAGTCTGATTTTCTCCCAATTTTCTCAGTAGCAGATTGTGCAGTAAGGAGAAAGTTATTCCTTATTAGACATGTGACCTACCTGTAATTTGTTGAAGAATGGCAGCTGCGGCTCAACCCCTTTTGCAAATCACAAGCTCTAGGGAGGAGAGTTGGGGGCAAGAGCAGTTTCTCTGGACATATTTGGATTACTAGTAGTCACCTCAGATAACTGACCTCAGAAATCACCATTTCAGTTGATGGTGAACCAATCTTTTTATGGTAACTTAATTGTGCTTAATGCTACATACATGATTACACAAATCAAGTGATTAAGCGCAGCTCCTTCTGGCATGGTGCCAGGCTCTGATGAAGGAGCCTGCTGTGGGGGTGCCTGTTTGCGCCCTTTCAAATTTGTGCCTGGGGCCACAGCCCCCATGCTATGCACCACAGTGGTACCTATTTATCTACTTGCACTGGCATGCTTTTGAACTGCTAGGTTGGCACCAACCCTTCAAATTCATCAGCATGAATGTCAGATTTTCTTTCATGAGCCCAGTTGCAGACTTACAGAGACCCTTTTTGTAGCTTTGACTGCATCATTCATTTGGAAACAGCCAAGTCCTCTTCCTATTCTTTCTCTGGTGGATGGATGGGTTGGTTAAGTTACCTAGACAGAGATTTTGTGGGCCAGCATCCTTCTTTAGGACCATTCTCTTTATCATCTATCTATCTATCTATCTATCTATCATCTACCCATCTATCTAATTTGTATACTGCCTTCATCTGAAGATCATAGGGCAGTTCACAACATAAAAATGATAACATAAAATACATAAAGCAAAAACAAAGCACCAACTGGGTCTGGGTTGGTTCACAGAGGTAGAGGCGGTCCACTGCCTCTCCTGCAGAGGTAAAGTTCAAGAAGAGCTGGGTGTCATCAACATATTGCTGACAACATATTCCAAACCTCTGGATAACTCCACTCAGCGGTTTCATGTCGATGTTAAAACAACATAGGGGATAAAATCAAACCCTGAGGAACCCCACATTGAAGGCTCCACTGGGCTGAAGAACACTCTCCAAGCAATACCCTCTGGAAATGTCCATCCAAGTATGACTGGAACCAAGGCAAAGCGGTACCACCCACCCCTAACTCTGACAGCTGCTCCAGAAGGAGACCATAGCCAATGGAAACAAAAGCTGCTGAGAGGTTGAGGAGAATGAACAGGGATACATTTCCCCGGTCTCTCTCCCAACAGAGGTAATCATACAGGGCAACCAAAGCAGTTTCTGTGCCAAAAGCGGGACGAAACACAGATTGAAAATGGTCTCTTCCATCCTGGGACCCCCAAATGTTGTTAGACTACAACACAAATCATCCCCAGCCAGCTTAAGTCAACATTTCTCTGCATTTCCATTCAAGTCATCCATAGAAAGTCATGCAAGCCTCACATGTTCTCAAGTTCTTAAAAGGAGGACAACCAGCCAGTTCTTGTTATAAATGTGAAATAAGCACTAGTCACCCAGAAATGAAACTAGACAGGCAGAGATGTGGCAAGGCTTTCAAAAAGGTTTCGTGTTTAGAAAAAGTGGACACTCAAGCAGCAACACTTGTTTAAAATTGAGGGGACTAGTAACTTGGAGAGATATGGCAGGCATTTTCCTTAGAATCTTTGGCAGAAAAGATTCTAACCCAGAATAGTCTCAGCATTGCTTGTAGGATGACACCTCTAAGGGTGATTTCTCTTTCTTCTTTCTCATACACTTTTGTTTAGTATTTCCTAAGTGCTCATGTACCACCAAGATTATTATGACAGGTTGGAAACCATGGATGTAAGTAAGCATCTAGCCCCAGGGTAGACACAAGCGCAGCCCATAGCCAGTTTTCTGTTGGTCTATTACCCTAGAGCTTGCTGGAATTCTCACAAATAAGGTTGACCCAGCAAGGCATATCACTTAAGTAAGAGTATATAGCCAGGATCGCTTAACGCGGATTAATTAAGCTTTAACTGTTAAGTAATCTCTCGTTTTCTTTTTTTAAATGTAAAATGAGCAAGCCAACCTTTCCTAGTGCACCAGTACAATACTTCCAACATTTTCCAGAGTTTAGAAATATTTGTGTTCCAACCAAGCAAAACTAGCTCAAATAGCACCACAGTCCTTATTCAAATTCTCATTAGAGGAGACACAGATGGCATTAGCAAGGCAAGTCTCTAAGCTGCAGCATCTGCTCAGATACAGAAATAAATACGATTTGTTGTAGACTTCTGCTCCTATTTATCATCAATGTGTAAGCCAATCAGAAATAGGAGAGCAACGTGTTTTTTTAAAAAAACACCTTGCCATACATGGAAATAGATCCACTGCATTCAGACAGTTTAAGACACTGGTCTTAAGGCACCTATATAAGAACCAACGCAAGATCCCCTCATTTGACAGGTATATACATCACATATACTTACACTAGTACAGTGGTACCTCGGGTTACAGACGCTTCAGGTTACAGACTCCGCTAACCCAGAAATAGTACCTCAGGTTAAGAACTTTGCTTCAGGATGAGAACAGAAATTGTGTTCCAGCGGTGCGGCAGCAGCAGGAGGCCCCATTAGCTAAAGTGGTACCTCAGGTTACGAACAGTTTCAGGTTAAGAACAGACTTCCAGAACGAATTAAGTTCTTAACCCGAGGTACCACTGTATACCCCGCCTTGATGATATATAGCTGAAATGTGAACCGCTGCCTCCTCTTAAAATACTGTGACCTGTGATTAGCTAATGCCTTTCTGTAGTTTTTGTTATGTTATGTTATGTTTTATGTTATGGCAGTTTCACATACAGAGTTTCATAATTTCTTGTGGCACTAAGCAATGAAAATGTTACATCAATTTTTTTTGGGGGGGGGGAAGAGTTCACATATCAGCCATTTGGGAAACACTGAGTTTGTGTTTATAACTCATGTTATAACAGGCAACCAGTATGTACCAGTCACAGTTATTACTGACATAGCTGTTTATATGACAGATTAGGGTGTGTTTGTTTGTTTGTTTTTAAAGGAAGACACATAGGTGTAATTTCTGGTTTAAATGTTGGCCATATCTCTCTACCTGGTTCAGTAGAGAGATACACTTCAGTATTGTGGCAAAAGGTGGCATTAAATATTGGCTGATAATTTCTTAGCTCTTGTCTCTTCATTTTCCTTACCGGATATTATCCATTACAGTTGTCTAGAAACGTAACATTTTGAAATGGAAGTCCACAAGGTATGAGAAGTTACTTTATTTCCTTTTTAAATATACAGATACAAGATATTTTAAAAGGACAAGAACATTATACAAGGCTCAAATTTACATTTTTGCAATTAAAGGATAACAATATATGCATGTATGTAAATAAAATTCCATTCATCTTCCTTATGATTCCTGTCAGTGGCATTAGCACTGTGTGTTCACTAAATACAAATAATCCTCACAGTGAGATAAACTGCATAGTAATTAATGAAACTAAAAATGACCATTCACTCTCATCTGTGCATGAGCTTATTTGCTAGAAAAGAACAGAACACATAAGAACAGAAGTTAGTTTGTTCATTTTGCCTCTGATTTTTCTCAAGTCAGGTTATTAAAAAAAATCAGAGTAAACGGAACAAAAAACCTGATCACTGGAGTAAACACTGTTCAGCTATATTCCTATATGTGTATCCTTAGCTGGGTAGGAAACTGCACACAAACATCAACTGCCTGCATTATTCCTCAAACTGATCAGACAGCAGGGCTTGACTGCACAGGACCCACTCATTCAAGAAAGCGAGAATCCCAGTTACTGGCTGATCAGCAAGAAAAGGAGTCACACATTTTGGATTTCCTACGTTCCTCTCCCCTCTGCTTATGGGTGAATGTTTAGCTTCCTTTAAGGGACTAGGGATGTTCACCTCTAGCTGCTGTGGTTGTACACTGTTGAATTCAGCAAAAAGCAGTGTTCACATGCAACTGAATTAAAAATTAATCTTGCTGAGTACAATCCAGCCAATGTTAAGCATTTTGAAGTGTGATTTCCTATTTCAAAATCAAGAATGCACCTAACTTTCTAACTGAACCAATGGAACTCAGGTGGTGCCTGAATCATGCTCATTGTTTTCAAGAACCAATCCATTGTTTGAGAACTTCGCAGTGAAGTTAGCTCTCACATTCTCCTCATTAGGCATCTGTTTACAAGCCTCTCTTTGCAGTTACCATGCTGAATGAGGGATCTTCCTACATCACTATTTTTGATTGGGAGAAGAGAAGTGATTCTTCCATGCGTGAGAACCACTCACCCCAGAAAAATAGAGCAGGATGTCCAAATCAGGGTGAGATCCGCCTGCACTAACACAGAGCTACCACTGAGGACGTGCTAAATCTACAGTGGCAAGGCAAGTCCAAGCACAGTTCCCCTTTTAAATCCAAAGTATAATAGTATGAGCAAATGGATATATAATCAAAACATATCACAGTAGAGTGAACATGACCAAGACACCATGAACACTATCTAATCTCTTCTTACCATGCAGTGCTTCTGGAACATTTTGCAGTAATCTCAGCACACATGTTTTTGCAGCGACTGTTTCCCCCTCTATAACCAGCGTAAACCTCTGTTTGGAATTTTCCAAAATGATGTTTATGTGCAGATTTTTTCATACCCAGAAAACTATCCAAGAAAACAAAATCTTCATGGCAATATTCTAAACGCTATTTGAAATGCACAAGGAAACTTAAGTGGATAAGCAAACAAAGATTTTGAAGAAATTATCTAGGTACCAAAACATAATTTAAAAGTATAACTCACTGTAGTTCAGAAGCAGACAGTGGGGTGGAGCAGTGGTGCTTACTTTACCACTCGGCAGTGAAGTCTCTGCTGCTGACCAGGAGGGAAATTGGGAAGGGCAAGGCAACAGGAAAACCAGTGCTGTGTAAATGCCATAGTGGCTCTGCCAGTGCATTCGCACAGCGCTGACCTCCATGTTGCCTTGCCCCTCCCACTCCTGGGGAGGCAGCAGAGACTCCACTGCCAGGATATCAGGTAAGTGTGGCTGCCTTGGCTCCACTTGGCTCCACCCTATAAACTATCCTATGAACAGTGGTAACTCATCAGTGCACTAATTAGGATTTATACAATATGAAATGTGAAATCCTATCTTTGGATTTCACTGTCTGTCATGTCTTCTTTCTTTGCCAAATGGAGACGCGGGTTTTCCCAAATACTCAGAACATTTATTTTCTCGCACACAAACCCACACATTTTCTTATCCTCACTCTTAAAATCTTAAATATACACAAAAGACTCCAAAAAGAAAGTAGGAAGGCTAGAGTACACAAATAAAATGCACCATCAGGATAATTTAACTTTTAAGACAAAAAAGGGGATGTTTCCTTGAAGGAGATAGTTACAAAAGGCTTATTGGGAAAGTTTTTCCTCTCTCATCACTATGTCCCTCTGACATAGTTATGGCTATAATCAATATACAAGGAAGATGTGACTACAACATTTCAATATCAACTTCTATAAATGGGGCAGCCTCGAGAGCTATTGAAAACAACTTGTTTGTGGAATCAGCATGATGAAACCAGACAACATGCAGTCACTGAAGTCTCCCACAAAACCAAAAACATAAAATTGAATGAAAAGCCCTTTGTACACACACTGAACTAATTTCCATTTTTGTTTTATTGTTCCTATTAACCTCTAAGGTGGTATTAGTAGCTGCTTGAGATCAGGTGCTCATTTAAATGGCTTCTTTTGCTGCAGTCTGGGGCCTATGATGGTCCACAGTAAGAAAGATTGCTATGGGGAACATCTGGCTACCCATAGAAGCAGGTAGCGAAACTCCTGGGCTGCAATGCTGGAGAGCACAACAACTACAGTTACAAGGTGCTCATCTGGCTATGCCAAAAGCAAAACATTGACTTTCTGTTGCATTAAAGCTAACTGGAAGCTTTTGTGGTGACTTAATGAGTGAATGGGTGCTCACAAGCCTCAAAGCATTTTCAGTAACTTCTAAAATTCCCTCTGTGCTCCATCATCACACTGTTCCTATGGATTACTAGATGCCTGGTAACACTACTTCCCCTAAGAATAAGTCACAGACCAGCCAGTCACAGGGTGTGGCTACTCTGAGTGTTGCTAAACTGGAGGAAGAAGCCAGATGCAGAGTTGTGGGAGGAAGGATTAAATAGGTTTAAGTACATTGTTCTCATATTCAGATGCACTGGAGCCGTTTAAGTAATAGCAGTTCTGTTCTGAAATGCTGCTGATATACATGAAGGGAAATATTATCTGATCCTTTCATCGAAAGATGACAGGCGGAAAATTGAAGCACCTAAATTAGTCCTATGAAAAGCAGACTCCGGCGGAAAAGTAATTCCCCAAAGACATCCACTGACCAACCCGCTTCTACAGAACCCAGCAATTTCTGGTTCTGATCAATCAATAATCACACTGAGAGGTTGTGTGCATGCATATTTCTCTAAGCAAAGTTCACCCACCAAAAACTGTTTAGTTTAGTGGGCTAGGGATTTCTCCTTAAAATAAGCATCTTATTATTTCATGTGTAAATTTTAAAGAGACTCAGTCATAGTAAGCTAGAAGAGTCTGACACTCAGAGCAGGTGCCAGTTGAATCCAAAGAAGATCTGATTAGTTTCCTGGCTTCGGGCAATCTCTTCTATGATGCAGTGTTGCTGCCAGAGCAAGTGGAGTTTCCTGTACCTTTCATGACACAAATGCAGAGGATTGCCTCGCCTTTGGAAGAGAAACAAGAAGAATATACACATTAGGGTTTGAGAAAACTGTAAGTGGCAAGTACTTTTAACTTTGCTTTATTCTGACGTATTTAGGTTGGTGTATGTACAACATGCTAGCTACTAACAGGGAATAATCACAGTTAACTCGCAAAGAAATGCATTTATGGCTAGCCACCAGTCTCACCAAAGAACTTTTGCTAGCAACAAAAGCCTCTGTTGTTAAGCAGTCAAACAACAAGTTACTGGCATTGTAAATGCACGTTTATGTTGAAAAGGATAAGAACAGTCAGAAGGCATCCAAACAGTTACTTTAAAACACCAAGAGAAGGCTATTTGCCAGATTTTTGGCATCAGATAATTGTAGTGAAAAAGCATAATAAGATAACATAAAAAGCAGCAAAGTGAAATTTCCTAGGCAACAGAGCAAAGCATCTACTTACGCCAGATTTGGGTCTGTTTCTCCATATTCATCTAGATATGGTGCAGGATAGAAAGAGCCTCTGGTTTTCCCTCCTATTAAGATAACTTTGCAGTCCCTGATTCTAAAAAAGAAACAGTTATGTTAAAGAGAAAGTCCCCAAGATGGCAGTGGTCTCAGTACACCATTCACTTTGAAGAATAAGTAAACACAGTAAATAGTGTTGCCTATTTAAAGCCTAATATTTCCAACATAGCAGTATCCTTGGCAGTGACCAGAGGAGGAATGACCGCTGGTATGAACGCAGAGAGAAGAAACGCCATGGTGCATCTGCAGCAGCACAGACACTTTAATTTGCCCCAGCTGCAACAAAACATGTCTCTCCTGCATCAGTCTCTACAGACACAACAGGCACTGCAACCTTCCAAACGCTTTACTTCACCCCCAAAGGCGCACTCCCCCACTGTATCCTCTACTGTATCATGAGACAGATAACAACAATTTCCAATATCCTTTTGTATGCAGACTTTCCGGGAAGGTGAGAAAATGAACAAACTACTCAATTCCCTGAATTCAAATGTGTGAACGGTAGAATGCTGAGTTACTATGACCAGATCAGGGTACTATATGGATAATTATAGCACAAAAAACATTTCTGCCCTTAATGAGCAGCTCTGGGCTATAGTGTAAGGAATTAAAAAGAAACACGAGACCTCTGTAGTCAGTCCCATTTTATGATTTAGGTTAAGATGATCCGATCCTAAAGATAAAGAAATTCCCAAGTATCACAAGCTCTAGTATTTTAAATTGTATTATGGGAAATAAACAAGCTAAAACCAATGTTCATCTCTTCCTATCTAAGTACAATCTACCTTGGTTGTCGAACGCCTTGGTACTTGTACGTTTTGGCTCCCGAATGCCGAAAACCTGGACATAAGTGTTTCGGTTTTTGAACGTTCTTTGGAAGCCAACGACACAGCTTCCACAACTTCTGATTGAGTGCAGGAAGCTCCTGCAGCCCACCAGAAGCCGTGCCTTGGTTTTTGAACGGTTCCCCGAACAGATTAAGTTCGACAACCAAGGTACGACTGTAATGTTCTTGTAATAGTCTAAAAGAAAAATCAGCGTGGCATTTGGCACATCAACACCCCATCCTTCCGATTAATTTCAATGGGCTTTACACTCTACTCTGTTACCTACTTGAGAAAAATGCACACTCCAGCCCCACAGTGGACAGCATGTGAAGTGCAGGCTCCCAGCTCCTCCCCATTCACCAGCTCCTGACAGCAGGTATTTTCAGAGCATAGCATAGCCCCACAGAACAAGCACAACACGGGGTGCTTGGTTTCATCATCAGAGGATCGAGGGCATCTGGAAAGGTAAAGTTAACTGGAGAATGACATTTGGAACCAAGAGGGAGATTAGAGAACAAAAACGTGACAAGGACATTATTTGCCAAGATGGCTTGTGAACAAAAACCTGTTTCATTGCTAACTTTCATTTTATCAGGCCTTCTTTAGAAACTTGATGATAAAATATCCTTTTTTCTAATGGGATGCCTCCAGATGTACACCAGCTGATGTACAGAAAAAATAGCTAGAATAATTCTGAAACTAGCATGCCATTCAAATTAAAATAGAATTTTATGCTTCAAAGTTACTTCCAGGGTTTTGAATGCAAGACTGAGGAGGCGTGGCTTAGGTTCAGATGGAATGCAAAACCATATATCGTTCTAATGTCTGAGCCCAATGGGAATGGAAGTTGTAATCATATTGTTTATTGTTTTTACACTGTACACCACCTAGAGATTTTAAATATATTAAGGGGCTTATAAATTATTTTAAATAAAATAAATAATTCACTTCAGAAATGTTGTGATGGGCAAGCGAGATTTCCAATGCACTTTGCAAATTCTGAACATGATAAAATAACAATATTGCACAAGTTTAACCATTTTATTAGTCAGTATGACCTGTTACTACTCCAGTGGTAATAATATCTCCTTATCCTAAAATGAAAATTGTATAATATACAGCTAAAAGGAATCAGTGCTTCCAAACCATTGGTTTTATACACAATTTCAGACAAATTTCTCCATATATACAAAATTTAAAGACCACTTTAGCTTTTATAAACTTAAACTGCAAGGGGGGAACCTGATATTTGAACAAAGTCCATTTACAACTTTTAATTTTTTTTGCAATGCCATTTGCACAATCAAATTGTGCTGCTTTTCCAATTTTTTTAAAAAAGGCTATATATGTCTACCCAGTGCTTGTTTTCTAAAAAAATGTTTAGGGGTACTCTTGTTTTCCTACTTATATTGAAATACTGCCCCTCAATTATTAGTGTATTTGTGGTATTTGTGGAAGCCACCCAGAGTGGCTGGGGAAACCCAGCCAGATGGGCAGGGTACAAATAATAAATTATTATTATTATTATTATCAATGAGGCCAAACTTAGATTTACAAAATGTTTAGGGGTATACGTATCCCTGCACCCACCCAGAAAAAAAGCACTGTGTCTACCTTAAAATTATTCTCTTGGCACAATTATGCAACATATCTTGATCGCTTAGACAGAACGCAGTTTTATGAAGAACAAATCTGTAAAAAGTCACAAAAGAAACTTCTAATTCTCACCTAAACTGAGAGCCTTTATTGAGAAGGCAACTGTAGTCTTCTGGAAGCTCTACCAATTTATTTCTTTTTCTTGGGTACCTAGTTAAGTCAAGTAAGAAGAATTACGATACTCCAGGATACAAAAGCACATCAAAGAAACCAAGTACTCTTCTGCTGAACTTTAAAACGTTCACATTTCATCCAAAATTTGCAAAGGCTGATGACACAAAGACAGCTATGATCTCTGCAGTAGGAGCTTGCAAGTGATAGTTATACATCAGAACCTTGCTATACGGAATTCAGCCTATGAGTAAGCAGTCTAGGGAAATTACCGTATTTTTCGCACCATAGGGCGCACCGGACCATAGGGTGCACCTAGTTTTGGGAGGCGGAAAACAAGAAAAAATTATTCTGAACCCCAGAAGCCAGAACAGCAAGAGGGATCTGGCTTCTGGGATACCGTGTGGCTGTTCTGGCTTCTGGGGTAACTGCGCCAAGCCTCTTCAGGGCAGCGGGATGAAGGCTCCCCCTGCCCAAAGAGGCTGCGCAGGGCTAAAGCAGAAGCCAGGACAGGTGCGTCGCTGAAGGGGCACTGCGCCTTCTCTCTCTCTGTGCAGCGCCCCTCCTTTCACAGGAGAGGCGCTGCGCAGAGAGGGAGAAGGCGCAGCGCCCTTCAGCGAAGCTGGAGAAGGAACAGAAGGAGACCCTTCTGTTCCTCCTCGGGCTTCGCTGGACAGGCGCGTCGCTGCCAAGCGGGAGGAGGAACAGAAGGAGACCCTTCTGTTCCTCCTCGGGCTTCGCTGGACAGGCACGTCGCTGCCAAGCGGGAGGAGGAACAGAAGGAGACCCTTCTGTTCCTCCTCCGGCTTCCAGGACAGGCGCGTCGCCGCGAAGCCAAGGAGCCTGCATTCGCTTCATAGGATGCACACACATTTCCCCTTCATTTTTGGAGGGGAAAAAGTGCGTCCTATAGAGCGAAAAATACGGTATATTGCAGAGGACAAGCTAGGATTAGCACTCTGGTTCACTGTGTGTTCTGTTTGACCTGTTGCTTGCTTTCGCCTTTATTTCTAATAAAAGTTTCACAATTGGGCTGGTCAGATCAGTGTGTGACTGCCACGTGCCTAGATCACTTTGGGTCACATGCTATTAGATGTCTAGGGCCAGAGTGGTAAAGCCAGGAATTTGCCATATTCCCAAGGAGAAACAGAAGGCTAGAAAGCAGGCATTACGCTCTGCGTAACTGCAAGAAATTGGCTGGAGGCACAAGGCATACTGGTGCAAGCTTTAAGTTCACTGGGTGTTCCGCGTTTCCCCCTTGTTTCTAGGGCTGTACACGACTTAAAAACAGGGTGGTGGCAGCAACTACCAGATAACAAGAACCAACTGGCAGCACTGCAGGGATGTTGTGCAGCTGCTGGGCAAGGAAGGTGGTGTGAAAGGCTGTCCTGATCACCCACCTTCTCCACACAATGTAGCTGGCGCCATGTGCACTACTGTTCTTATCAGAACAGAAATATTGTGGGAGTTTGGTTATCTACTCTCCTGACATTTCTGTATTTACCCAAGAGCAGACGTTTGGGGGAGCAATATATCTAAAAGCAAAGGGGCAAGGGGCACTGATGAAAACACACTGCTAAATATTAAAATGCAACCAAGACTGCTGTTTCAGGAAAACAGAAGAAGTAAAACTGACCTTATTCCAATACTTTTCCCCTTCAGAAAGCTGAGTACAGCTGGAGCCGCACACCACCTGCATGTGAAATTCTCCATCAGGACAATAATATATTGTAGTACTGTCCATCGCTAGCTTGGTCCCCAAAACTACCAGTTAAATTGGTGTTTTGCTACTCTTACTCATAACTGGAATCATTCCCTCTCCTGCCCTGAAGTGGTGAATAAATCCTGTCACAGATTAGAAGTGTGCATGCACACAAAAGCTTATACCAAGAACAAACTTAGTTGGTCTCTAAGGTGCTACTGGACAATTTTTTTTTATTTTCTTATATATTTCAACTTTGATTTTCAGTTTGGCACACTGGATGCCCACAAAGATTTTGGGTCGGTATGACTGGCCAGCAACCCCCAAAAGGTGTTTGCTTTTCCTAAGGCCATAAACAAAGGCAGAACCATCTCCCTTGATACAAAGGTGCTCAGATAACAAATGAGAACCAGGCACTTAATTTTTAGAAAACTACGTTTTGCTATAATATAATATAATATAATATAATATAATATAATATAATAAATACAATACAATACAATATAATATAATAACTAATATTTAACACAGTTAAGCTGAAATATGTTGGGCTGCCTGTATTTAGGTTATGCCTGTTCTACCCAGAAAGACACATCAACACACTCTGTATCCTCACAGCCCATCTCCATCACATTTCTGGGTCTGTCCTTTTACCCCAGTGCAACTTTGCAAACTTGTTCCAAGTCTTCTGGATCAACAGACAGCTTCATATGGCTTACCTATGGTCACAACACACAGTGGCCTAAGTTGTGCAATGATGGTGGCTAAATGATCCCACTTTGAGGCAGGGGGTTAGATTAGAGCAGCCTTTGCCAACCTGGTTCCCCACTGGACATCCTGAACTATAACTCCCACCACCCCTAGCCAACTGTGAGGGCCAAGACTGGTGGGAATTGTAGTCCAAAATATCCAGAGGGCACCAAGTTGACAAAGGCTAGACTAGACAGTCTCAATTCCACTGCACTCTGCGGTTCCCAGCCCACTCTTTCTCACCCAGCCAACAGTTTCTGGATGTTGGGACAATCATATGCTCTATGTGAGAACCTGAAAAAACACGCATATTTTTCTCCCAGCAGCAGTCATACCTCTGGAGCAAGGGCTCTATAGTATCCCAATATTCTTGGAAAAGCAAGAACAGATTGGTGGGTAGAGACAAGTATCCACAAAGTGCCTTGAATTGGCCTTCTTCTGAAACTGCAAAGGAAAAAGATGTTAGACGTACCTTCAAGTGCAGCAACTAACATAAAAAAACCCCTTTTTTCTGTTAAAAGTGAATACTCGGTGCAGATTTATAAAGTAAAAATATATCAGATGAAGACAATAGCCAGTTTGGAATGACAGCCAGGAACTACTTTGGATAAGACTCTTGCTGCTGTGGAGGGAATGTACGTAGTCACATTGAAATCTGTCAGTTATTTTTCTCCGTAAGTCAATGTGAACCGTTGTTGTGAATGCACAAATTGTAACCTCCCCATGTTAAGGAAGACTACAGCTGCCTCTGTGGGAGCAAATTATTTTGGGGGTACCCCCTACTCTTTGTCGGGTGTGAATTTCTTAGTGCTGATGTGCCCGTTATGGAAGAGCAGATTTAGACTGAAGGTCTGGGAAGAAAGCACTTCGTATGAGAGAGGCAGTGGGAGTGTGGCCAGGACAATCTTGTACCACTGGGGTTAAAGGTATGGCAGTCCAGAGCATTTAAGGCTTTATAGGTCAACACCAACCCTTTGAATTGGGCCTGGAAACTGAGTGGCAGTCAGGATTAGTGTTGTATGCTCAAACAGTCTTGCCCCGGTGAGCAATGTTAAACTAGAGATTATTTATGGAGAAGGATTTTTCAATATGTATCAAAAGAACTTTCTGAAAACCATTTTGTAGTGGTTGATACTGTTCAGCACATTTTTAATCTGGCGTTACCTTGGCATGCTGAGATTCCCATGCTCTGCTACTTACCTGATGAAAGTTCTTCTGGTGGAGGCACTCCCAGCAAATAGTGGAAAAACAAAGCAGCACAACGGAGGTAGGGCATGATGCCCCTTTTAATGCAATCCCACAAATACCAGCCTGCAACTGTTTGGCTATAGCAACTGCAATAAAGATTTGAATATGTGTATTTAGTATCTTAGGTTGTCAACAACATTTAATTTATTCATTAAAATTCTATCCCGCACTTCCTCCCAAAGGAGTGCAGGGTGGCAACTAAGCAGAAAAACAATACAATTAAAAAACAAAGTGAAAAACATTAAGTACATCTAAAAACATAGAAAAAGAGTCACATATTCTTCCTAACTTAATGTTTTCAGGGTTGCCAGGCAAGCATCTTTCAGCTATCAATTGCCTGGAATATTTTAAAATCCCCTCTGAATGTTACTAATGAAGGAGACAGACACACCTCACCAGGGAGGGAAAACCACAAATTCCACAAATGGAGAGCCACCACCAAGAAGGTCCTGCCATGGGTCAGGTTTTGAAACATGATATAAATTCCTGACTGTTTAAATACAAATGGTTTAATGGTAAAGATTAAAAAGTTCACTCACTGAAAGAGAGATACTTGTTAAGCTGCTTTTTAATAAAATACCAATATCTCCCTCACACACAAATGTATATATACACACATGGATGCTTTGCAGAGAAGGGATTACAAAAATATCTCAACTGATGGGCAGGGGACAGCACACCTCTAATCCTCCCCACTTCTTCTTCAAACCTCTGTGGTTTGAAGAAGAAATGGGATTGTGTTCTGAAAGCCATTTGTAAATATCCCTGCTCAATGATGTTTACAATGCGCTGTTTGAAAACCTGCGGTTCACTTTGAAGTTCGACAGTCAGGTAACTGACAGGTGAGTGGCCCAGACTGCCTGTCAACTTTGGCCCATCAGAGGTGGGGAAGGTAAAGATCAGGTCCTCTTGCCAGAAAGGTTTCTTTACCCCTGCCCAAGAGCTTGAAGGCAGTTTTTTTAAAATGTAGAAGTAAAAAACTGTTACAGGAACTTTGCACATAGTATTACAACTATGTCAGATCCTGATTTGATAATCAACCTTTCTCCCTTCTTTCCTGGGGAATGTGAAACATCAGTACAGTAAGGTAGCAATGCTAGTCCATAAGAAAGAAAGAAAACCCAAATTGTATTAGGGCAATACTTTTATTAAGTCAATGAAAAACATTACAAAATGTGTGCAAGCTTTTGAATTCTCCATGACACTTCATCAGGCTAAAACTACAACTACAACTCATGACCACTGGCTGTGCTGGCTAGGAATGATGGTCCAACAACATCTAGGCACCTGAAGTTGAGAAAAGCTGGTCTAGATTACAAACAAAGCAAGGTTTGGGGATGGGAGTGGGATACTTGGCTGGTGGTGAATGTATTCCGTCTTCCAGAAGCCTTAGGTGCAACTTCAAACCTGCACAGCACCTCTCACAACCTCACTGGAATACTTGATACTTCCCTCCCATATTCCATCTTAAGACTCTGACCAGATGCAGACTCTATTGTTTTACAGCCAGCCACATTTTAAACTCCCCTCCTCAGCTTTGTTTACCATCTACCCTAGTGAAGAGTTCTAGAGAACCATAAAGCTAGCACACTATTTTGTGACATTTTGTTTGTCCTAATAAAGGAGCGGGATTCAACACAATGCACTCCTTATCCATCAAAACTTTGCAGAGAAGCTACTTACCCACTTGTGTACCTGCAAATTTCTTTACAGAAAGAATCAGCTGCTCGTGCTTCCTCACTGTCATGCTGTACTTGTGCAGACAGGCACTCTGTGCAAAAAATAATTTTAAATATATTTGGTCTTTTCCCTTAATAGTATTTACAAATTTTCGGGTACTTTTTCTCTTTTATAACGATCCACTCTTTTTACATTAATATTTACTTATTTATGTAATGCCAGCAACGTGCATGGGAGAAACAGCATGTCCCAAGTCACTTCTAAATCCAGGACGAGCATAGAAGTGGACTATAATTTGCCTCAACTCCACAATGCCAGGCTAGGGGGGGGAAATTAACCTTAAAGTCCAGAAGACATCTATGCAAATCAAAAGGCAGGCTGGAACTTGTAGTCACCACCTTGATAATATTGCTGGGGCAGATGTCCTGATGCTGTTGACTAGCGTGAAACAGCGGTGTAGACATGGGCTGATTTTGTTGGAACAACATGCTTACCAACTTCACATTCGGCTTGCTGACAAATAACACACAAAAGTAGGTAGATGAAGTAGCTTTCATGCTGTCTCTTTTCAGGCCCTTTATTTAATCACTACTTTACCAGAGATACCCAGTTAAAATTATGGAACCAAGCAAGTGGAGTTTTGGAGATATAAGACCCAGTCTTCTAAATCACAATGGTTAAACTCAAGACAATGAAGAAGAGGAAAAGTTCCGTATAAAAAGAGGAACTTTAAAAGCATTAATATAAGCATGTGCAATGACAGGTGGGAAATCAAAAGCTGTAGTTCAGCATGAAGTTAACCAGTATGGGAGTTTCCAGCAAGTTGTTGACATCCTTATACAGCTGCCCTAGCCAATGAACACAGTAACTGCTCTAACCAGATATGTTGTAAACCAGGAGCCAGTGGTCTGGTTCACACATCCCTTTATAACATGGTTAAGTTAAACTGTGGTTTCAAGATAATCATGCAGCATGCTACAGCATGGAGCAAAACTTGTGGCTGGTTTGCGCCTCCATCACTCCTGCCATGCTGCTAGGTTTAGCTTAGCATTATATTAAAATCCAGGCTCATGGTTTGTGTCTCTCCAAACAAGCCAAGAGCTATAACCAAGGTTTGTTTTTGGCTTATGGGCCTGATTTGTTTGCAAAGACACAAATCATCAGTTCAGGGATAGCACCTATATGCTCCACACAGTTGTTAGACGTAGGAAAGGGTTAGGTGTCTGCAACCATGCTTGGATTTCATAGCTGGATGGAGGCAAGGGATAATTTTAAGACCCATGAAGGAAATCTCTACTGTCAGCAGATCTTTTTCCTTGCCACTTAGGTCCTAGAATGTCAGCAGGTGAACACTCTACCATACAAATATATGGAACTATTTTTGAGAACTGGAAGGCATAAAAGCCTCCTGCCGAAACATCTAAAAGTACTTTATTATGTTATCTAGAAAAACCTAAACACAAAAGATACCATCACCTGTAGTTGTAGTGAGAATAATTTGGGTTATGTGTGCCATAGTGACCAAGTGGAAGAGGTAGAGATTGTTACAGGCAGAGCTGATCGATGAAGGTTGTAAGTCTACAGTATCCTCCCAATACAAAGACGGAAATGATAACACAGCACCAACCTAAAAAGGAAATAAGACACTGATAGGCCTGGCACTCATCACAAATTAAACTGTCCATTTGCAGGGGCATTTTTTACATAAGGCTTAGGAAACAAACACAAGTCAAATCCAAAATGAATCAAAGGCACTCTCAAGGTAATTCCCACAAAGGACTGCCCACCCCCCAGGAACTGTTACAGACATGACTCCAGACTGTACAAGCCATGGAACTAATATCTGCACACAATCTCAAACTTTTAAGAGCATCATTGCCAAGAGAAGTCTACACACACTTACCAAAACATGAAACAGATCCACGTCTAGAAGGGATGGTGTGTCTTCCACTTTTAAACTGGGCAGAAGAACTACAAGAGCAAAATATATATTATATGGAAATTCTGACTGTCTGCTTTCAGTAAAACAGATTGCAAAGAAAGGGTTTGTAATGATGTGAGATTCCCTGCTCCCCCCTTTGTCAATTCTTGTTTCTTCAAGCTTACTAGACGAAAAATAAAAACCCATAAAAGCTTATGCCTCTTATCTGAAAAATATTTTACTGTTTTAGAGAAGGAATCTTTCCAAGAAGACTTTACTTATTTCCAAAACTTATAATGGGGGTAAAAAACACCATGTTACCTCCTAGGAGACGTACAAGATGTTGCTGGATCAGGCTTTGTGGCAATGTAATCCTCTGAGCAACTGCAAACTGCAGCAATGCTTTAAGACCACTGTGCTAGAGGGTGAGGAGATAAAGGAGAAAGGTTTGGTTAGACGAGGGCTATGCTTCCCATCCCTATTCTCTAAAAATATTTGGGTTCTAGTGGCTGGAGATAGCAGCCAGGACCTGGGCTCCTTACAGGCAGAAAGGGAGGAAAAAGGCAAGTAAAGAAGATGGCATTTGGATTGCAAACTCCTGCATAGCAATTAACAAATGCCAAAACAAATGTCAGATGGAAAATTATATATGACATAGCCTGAGCAACTACTTAAGCAATGGTCCAGTGGTTACATATACCTGATCTCCACACACACACACACCCCGCCCTCGCCAATCCTCTGGAACAGAATCCTTAGCCCAGAGTTTTCAAACTTACTTGTTTTGTTTAATTGTGTCGCTAGGCCGACTGTTGACTTGAGATAATCAAAGTTCAAAGCCTTGCTGAGCACACGAATAAGACAATACATCAGGCAATATCCAATGTCAAGCGAGCAAATGCAAGGAAGTCCCCCTTTCTCTCCTTTCCTGAACCCCCTGAGCAACCCCCAAAAACCTGCTCCATGTGGTTAAGGCAGCATTTGAGAGGAAGGGGAAATCCTACTGCACAAGCCAAAGTCCACTGTGCCAGAAGGATACCACTGGATGCCAATCATAGGTTCCCCAGCACTGGAACCGAAGTATTCCTTAATTTTTTTGTCTGAACTTTCTACTTGTGGTACAGTGGTAATAAAGTATTTCTATATTTCTATAAAACACACTCATTAAACGCAAGTCCTACCCTGCACCACCCCTACATTTGGAAGCGTGTTATGTGAATAACTAGTTTATGAAAGAAGTGTAATAAATGTAGTTGCTGTGCTCAATAGTCTACCTATAGCGGCACATTAGGACCTTACCTCATGGCAACACGAGAACAGGGCCTTCTCTGCAGTGGCTCCGTGTCTGTGGAATGCTCTCCCCAGGGAAGTTCGCCTGGCGCCTGCATTGTACATCTTTAGGCACCACGCAAAAACGTTCCTTTTTAACCAGGCCTTTGGTTGACCTGATGGACATCCTATACCCTTTTAAAATGTGGCTCTTGGGGGGGGGGGCATGTTATTGGGTTATTGTTCTTGCTCTGATTTTATATATTGTGATCTTTTCTGTGAACGACACTGAGACCTCTGGGTATGGGTCAGTATATAAAGTCAATAAATAAATCCATTAAATAAATAACTGATGTGGGACGTGGGTGGCACTGTGAGTTAAACCACAGAGCCTAGGACTTGCCGATCAGAAGGTCGGTGGTTTGAATCCCCGCGACGGGGTGAGCTCCCGTTGCTCGGTCCCAGCTCCTGCCCACCTAGCAGTTCGAAAGCACGTCAAAGTGCAAGTAGATAAATAGGTACCACTCTGGCGGGAAGGTAAACGGCGTTTCCGTGTGCTGCTCTGGTTCGCCAGAAGTGGCTTAGTCATGCTGGCCACATGACCCAGAAGCTGTACGCTGGCTCCCTTGGCCAATAAAGCCAGATGAGCGCTGCAACCCCAGAGTCGGCCATGACTGGACCTAATGGTCAGGGGTCCCTTTACCTTTACCTTAACAATTACATCCTTTATTGTTCCTACCTGACGGTTTTGCAGAGAACCAAATAAAGGCTTGCCCTCGTCTTCCAGAAGATTCTCTGAAAAAGAAACAAAGCTGGTAGTGAGTCATGTCAAAATGTTTTGCATTTCAGTTTTCCAGTAAGTTAAGGAACCTGCTTGTTTTGGCTTTCAATCTCTTTTTAGCTTACTGTTCATTTTAATTAACATTTGATCTATGGAAAGAGGTAACAAACTGGAGCAATGTCTTTGAATGAAAGTATCTAATTTTTACTATTTCAGGGAACACACACACATCTGTATGCTTGCTTCCAAGTCTGAACACAGTGTTCATATCAATTCTAGAGCAAATAAAATATAGGCTACTGTGCCATTTTGCAGTCTGTGGGAACTGAGCATTCCCAACTAAAATAGATTTTGAAGTGACTTGTTAAATAGTCAAATGCCCATAGCATTAGTCAAATAAGTACAAGAAGCAGATCTTGAAAACACTTCCTCAAATTAAAACAAAGCATTCCAACCTTTTGCCATTTTGGGGACCCCAGCATTTTGCTGTCAATTTTAAATGGGATAGCTTGATAATGGGGACTGTAAAAGTCTGATTTTTGTACAGTATTTGTACATGTTATATAGGATTTGCCCTATAACAGTATTTTAGAAACTGCGTTGTAGTAGCTGTCTTATATTTTCAAGTTTAAAACCCTGGCTATTTTCATGTCTAATATAATAAAAGCTGAAATCCAATTGTGAAAGGAATTCTATTTTTGATTTACCTAAACACTGGATAGTAAACGCACATGTGCTCCAAGTCATCATAGGAATGCGTGGATCAGTTTCATTGGGTGCAACTTTTAATCCAATTCTGTAAATTGCAGTGGCAAATAGAACCACCATCTCCTTGATACTATTAGAATACTTAACTCTGTGGAGGAAGCCAGGAGAATGTCAGATTGTGAATAAGTGAGGCTGGATAAAGTTCAAAGAACTGATTATGAGAATATTTGCACAGTTGCATTTATTTGCATTTCATAATTATCTTTAAATCAGCAGTTCCCGGTAACAGGAAATCATCGTTCAGCTTTTGCTTGTTATTATAGACTTCTCTTAAGTGCTTATATCCTTAAGGTAAAAAACACAAGCTTTCCAAGTTATATCCTGAGATAACGGTGACCAATAATTAGATAAAACTCCGGCAGAGGTTTGCTTGATCAGAGATAATAATCATAATGGCCCATATAAATGTTGTAGAATGTAGATATTTTAATGAAAATATTATTTTCTCCTAAGCAGAAATAATGCCCACTGTATAGATTCCAGATTTTTTTTAAAAAAAAAATTAGTCTAAAGTAGAAATGTGAGTCTTAACACTTACAAAGGATCTACTCCAAAGCTAAGAATGGAATGGAAATCAGATGAAGTCTCTTCCATTTCTATGTCACGTAAAGATGGAGCAATCTGTTTTCCTTCTTTTAAAAAGAGAAATAAATTCATGTGAGACTGCAGTTCAACTAAATGAAATAAAATTATTTATTTTCTCTTATATACTTAAAAACATAAGGCTGTTGTCACGGTGCAGTTCATGTAGCCACCCTGTGTGCTGACAGGGCGGCAGGCAGCCGAGGCAAGCTGTTTAACAGAGGGGAGGCGACGCTTCACAGTGCGGTTTGGCAAAGTGCTCTCTGAAGTGCCTCTCCCCTCCTTTAAAAGGGGCAGGATGTTGGGACAAGCCATGAGGAGAGAGGGAGGGGCCTGGGGCAAGCCTGGAGTGAGTGGAGCTTGGGATGAGCTGTGAGGAGAAGGAAAGGGGTGAGCTATGCAGGGATGGGCAAGGAGATGTGTGAGGTATAAAGAGAGGGGGAGTTGGTCAGGTATAAAGGGAGGAGAGGTTTGGAAAGGGGTTGGCAGGCAGAGCAAGCAGGGGCAGCAATCCTTACTATGGTAAAAATTCTTAGATCATGAATGATAGATTGGGGTCAGCAAAATTTTTCAGCAGGGGGTTGGTCCACTATCCCTCAGACCTTGTGGGGGGCCGGACTTTATTTTTTTTTGGGGGGGGGGAATGAACAAATTCCTATGCCCCACAAATAACCCATAGATGCACTTTAAATAAAAGGACACATTCTACTCATGTAAAAACACGCTGATTCCTGGACCATCCGCGGGCCGGATTTAGAAGGTGGTTGGGCCGGATCCAGCCCCCGGGCTGTAGTTTGCCTACCCATGGATTAAGACATAATAATTCTTACATAACAACCTATTAGATGTCATTAAGTGGTAAGTGCTATGTGCAGCTGACTCTATTAATATGCAAATGGATTAATCTTTGAATATCAATTTTCAGTCTAAGTCTGTGAGCTTCATTTGCAGAACAGTCAAAAAGCTAATAGAACACAACATTTTAAGGTGGGGCTGGGGGTACCAACCTAATATAAGAAAAATGGAGCCTATATCTTAAATGACTTCATGATTAGTATATACCTAAATAAAAATTCAATAAAAGTCTGCACCAGACTTCAGCGCTATCCAGCAACACAAAACAATGGAATTATAAGCCCTTCAATTTGCATTCATAACTTTCCACACTCTGTTAGAGATGCACAACTTTAGAAGATATTTCAATCACTTATTTTTAGGGCAGACAATAGGATTGCAATGATCCTCAAAATGGTACCTCTAACCAACAGCAAAATAAAGTGTTTTATAAAGATCTGGCAACCTCCTAAAAACATTTTAAAAATGTTAAGTGTAACATATACAGACCTTCAGTGTTTTTCTCGTTGTAACCAGATATCCTGGCCATAACAATCTCTATCCATTTTTTCAAAGATAGAAGCTGAACCACCACCTCGGCATCCTCACTGACAATACAAAAAGGTAGTTGTAGTTTTCACAAGTATAGCAAAAAATATAACCCCCGGAGCCCAGTCTCAGATGCTCGTGTCTTAAGAGAATTTAAACAGCTATTTAGTTATTTGGTTCAGATGTGAATAACTTCATTTCATAAAGCTTCTTCTAGACACTCAAAATTGATGGGTAAATAAAATAACAGAATGGGCCTTTTCTGTGGTGGCTCCTCACTTGTGGAATGCTCTGCCAGGGAGGCTCCCCTGCTGCCTTCATTACAATGCCAGGCAAAAATATTCCTCTTCTCACAGGCCTTTGGCTATTTAAACAATTTATTGCCTTTTAAACTGCAGGGGAGGGTACTGTTTTTGTTTGTTACTATGCTATGCATTTTTGTGTTTTTATATTGTAAACTTCCTTGTGATCCTCAGTTGAAGGGTGGTATAGAAATGTAATTCGTCATCATCTTCATCATCGTCATGTATTTTCCCCATACATGCAACGAGAAAACTGCTATCAGACTAAAATTGACATCCAGTGCCTTTAAAAATGTGTTGGGGGTGTGTGGGGGTGTGATTAGGTTCCTTTTGTTTTTATTTTGATAATGTATTTTGTGTTTTTATATTTTGATTTTATCCTGTGAAATGCCCTGAGACCTGCAGGTATAGAGCGGTATACAAAATTAATTAACGGGCTATTTAAATGTTTAAACTTACCTGTTTATCTTGTGCGTTTGCAAAGGAAGAATGGGTATCACAGTGTTGCACAGAGATTTGCAAAGTGGGCAGAGGTACTCTCCATTCTCCAAGTCAAAAACTTGTTCGACATGATGTCGCTGCCGAGAGTTTAACTGAATGGCTTCAAAGTACCTGCAATATTGAAACAGACAACCAAAAGAAAGTCTTTAGTGTTGAGTGTGAACAAGGAAAAGCAGAGTTAAGATACCCTTTGTTGTTACGCATTTGGCTTACTGTTAGAACTTTGTTTTTGAGCATAAGCGAAAAGAGGGACAATGATCAGAACTTTGTACCCATCATACAAAACTTTGTACCATGTAAATGAACTATGGGGTATTGTGGGAGATAACAAGAAGTAGAGTGCAGTGAGAGAACTCAGGATCAAGCCCCAATAGGCAGTTCTGGAAGCAGAATTTCAAGAGCTCCAGGTTAATGTGATATCCCCAGCCTGGTGCCCTCCAGATATTTTGAACCACAACTCTCCCCAGCCCCAGGCAAAACAGCCAATACTTTTGTCCATATTTGTCTTTTGATTACACTTATGCTAGCCTGGTTTCATTTATTTTGCTGAGATACTTGAATCTGTTGGACATTAAATATGTCTTGAGATATGCTGGAAGAGATAGTTTCAAAATTGACTATAACTAAAGCAAAATAATAATAATAATAAAGTTTACTAAATGTATCTACTTACTTCTGCCAGCAGGCAGCATGCATCACATGACCACAACTTCCTGTATGAGTTCCACATGACAAGTCAGGATCCATGAAAAGAGGATCTATTTTATCTATTGAAGAAAAAATGATATGAAGGATGATTATATCATTTAGTGCCAAATGAAAGATTTTGCAAAGAACTATTCAAGCAAAAATTCTGCCAGAGAAGCATCTTTTAAATCTTGTACATCTTATACAGTACACACTGAAAAAATAATTCTTGACCTTCTTTATTAACACCAACTAAAAAAAGGACCATCAAATGAGATTTTGAGCTTTGCTCATACATTCAATATAGTTCAGGTTTGGGCAATTTTTCTTTCAATTAGAAGGGATAAAACGGTTGATTTCTCAACTGCATTTGAGATGGCTTCTAAAACTATTCACATCAATGTTTCGTAACACGACTTTCAGTTCTGTAACTTGAGCTAACAAAATGAAACCTGAAGCAATATTACTGCTTATGCAAGCAGGTGACTTGAAGACAGGATACATACCCCCAGAAAGTTCAAGCATTTTCCCTCTATGTTGGGTTAAGGCAGTGGATCTCTGGACACAGGCAGATAAAACCATGGCAGCACACTCTAACCTCACTTCCTGCTCTTCCTGACACAGAATACATGTCAGCACTTCCTTTTCTGCAACAGATGGCCCTTGCTTGGGTCCCAAGGCAATTCTGGTATAATCTATAATTGGTGGGCTGTTATAAAGACACAACAAAAGTCAAACTAACATATTCCTGTCAGCAAACAATTATTTGCGATTTACATTTAAATAAAATCACATATGATTTAAAATTTATACATTAATACTGTAGTTTTACTTCACCCTCCACAGAAAAACAGGACTGCAACCAATATTTAGCCACATGCTGAATAGATGTTGATTATATCCCAACACCACGAGAGCCAATAAAACTGTCCAATGACTCCTAATTTTGTACTATTTTATATTATCAAAAGCTACTCCAAAATCTATTACTAATTGTTATTTTCCTACCTCTCCTCTTCCATAACATCCCTTCCCTGTGTTTCTTGAGTATTTTCATATAAGAGCTTGTGAGTTTCAATGAAGTTCTTCTGCAAAGCAGACATCTGGGCCATGATCTTCTGGCGATGAAGTCTGGCTGCTTCGGCCTTTCTCTTCCTCTCAGCCTTTTCCTTGTCCTGAGTTCTTTGCATCTTATTTAGCGGCAAAGCAAAAAACAAACAAACAAAAACACCCAGGCAAGCTATTTGTTAACAAAAAAGATAACTGGAATAAATCTTTAAAATAGAATCACTTTTCAATAATATAACAATGGCGTTTGCTTAGCACTTGTGAAACTCTGCTTAACAAAAAATAATGTGACACAGCTCCACCTCCATATCCCAAGCCTCTCACAGCTAACCTGTGAACAGACTCTGTCCCCAAAAGGTAATGAGAATTTCTTATCAGTGCAATGCTGTACAGGGCTAATAACAGGTTTTAGACACAGGCATAATAATGCTGCCCTTCATCTTAAACCTCAAGTTCCAGTGTCTAAAGATTCTCAGGGCAAGTGAAATTACAACTTCACGTACAACGGAGATGTGGCTGGGAGCACTAGGAACAGCTTCCTAGAGAGAATAGCCTCCAGAGAGATTGGTTACGAGGGTTCTGCCAGCAAGGAATATTGGGGGAAGAAAAAAAATCAAGGAGTCAGGAAGTTCGCCATTCCAAATCAGTTCCCACTTGTAAAATATATAATTTTGTTAACCAGAATGGAATATTTAGCCTTGCTTTTAAATGCATGGAGCTGTGAACCCAGGGGCTAGAATTCTGAATGTAGAAACAGCCAAATCTTCTTGTGAATACATTATTTCTTTCCTATTTTATAGTTACCTCGTTGGCTTTTGCAGATTCTGGCCCAGATGCAATGGCTGCTGTGGGAAAAGATGACTTCTCTCTCAGCCGTTTTATTGTGTCAAACATCTGGGAATAGAGATTTAATAGTTACAATACTAATAGACTGTGATATTTCTATATTTCCAAGCCACATTATGGTTTGCCCCATGAAAGAAAGCATGCTGGACAAGATCTACCCCATTAGCAGCAGCACCAGTATTAAACACAATCAATACCATTTGTTACTATCTTTATATTTGGAAATTAATACCTTTATTCACTTTTCTCTATTTAGTCTCTACAAAGACTACAGGTAATAATGGTGTGTACAAATGGAGCTGCTCAGTGTACAAAAAAGTATACAGTTATAAAATGGCTTTAGCAATTATGTACTTTTTTGCATAGGCTATTCAAAAATGTCTTGCTTGTGGTATTTATTATTAATGTATACTGCTTATATAATTAAAAAAATCTAAAGCATTTACATAAAAACAAGAAAAATGCAATGTGCATTAAAATGTCCTGAAAACAAAACAAAACAGTATGTCACAAATAAAACTAAGCAGTACATAAAACAAAAAAATTAAAAAATAAGAGTCACAGTCCAGGAAAGCTTTGGTAAATATGTACGTAAAGGTAATGGTAAAGGACCCCTGGATGGTTAAGTCCAATCAAAGGCGACTATGGGGTTGCGGTGATCATCTCACTTCAGGCCAAGGGAGCAGGCGTTAGTCCACAGACAGCTTTCCGGGTCATGTGGCCAGCATGACTGAACTGCTTCTGGCGCAACAGGACACCGTGACAGAAGCCAGAGCGCACGGAAACATCGTTTACCTCCACAGTGGTACCTATTTATCTACTTGCACTGGTATGCTTTCAAACTGCTAGGCTGGCAGGAGCTGGGACAGAGCAATAGGAGCTCACCCCATCAGGGGGATTCGAACCACCAACCTTCTGATTGGCAAGCCCAAGAGGCTCAGTGGTTTAAACCACAGTGCCACCTGCTTACAAATATGTAAGCTTATGAGACACTTAAAAGTTATTACAAACACTGCCTCATAAATTATCCAAGGGAGCACATTCTGGAGGCTGCGTGCTATCACCAAGAAGGCCCATTTCTGCATTCCTACCAAGTGACAGTCGCTGGTTGTGGAGCAACCAGTAGAGTCTTCTCGGAAGATCCTAAAGATTGGGAGAGGCGGTCTACTGAGTATCCTGATTATAAGTCATTAAGGACTTTAAATATCAGCAATGAAACATTCATAGTAGTCCATGGTTGTGGCAAAGCAGAAACCCGGTCATCTCAAATCTGCTGTATTTACAGGGGATCATGTTTTGTCACACAATCCTTTACACGAGGAACAGATCGTTAGTTTCATATAGACTTTGGAAAAGCCAATAAAGAGCAACATTTCAGTAGCAACTGTTGCATATCTCATTTGAACCAGAACAGAGATACTGTCTTATTCCACTAAGCTAACTTTTGTTAAAATCCCCCTCCCACCAGCCAGTTCTATCACATGAATAAACAAGAATTAATTCATTATGAGTTTTCTGCAACAAACAATGATAGCAACAACATTAAACATTATCTGTATATGCTATCTTTTAAAGAGATTATGCACCAGCAACATTCTGTAGAGTAAATGTGTCAAGTTCTTTTTAAAAAAAATTAACATGGGACATTGGGGGGGGGGCTTTTTTACCTGTAATACCCAGTTGATCATGTCTTTTTGCGATTCCAGAGGTTGAATTCCTTTTAGTTTTTCCAAAATCATTAGTATGTTCATTGCATTCAAAGCAGAGCTTCCCATTCCTTTCAAACAGATGGAAGAATTTTTTAAAAAAACAACCACACACGTTCTCTCGTAAAAGATAATCATTTCTCCATTTTACTAAAGATTACGACTTAAAAGACTAGACATGGGACATTTTATTGTTACAACACCTCCTTATATCACAGAAGATGAATGACTTCTTTGTCAATTATCGCTTTTCACTACTTTACAAAATGATGGTGGTAACAAGCTACAAACAAAGCCGCATCAATGAATTGCGTTTGGTTCTCTGTTTCATTGTTTCTCACCAAATGTAACATAATCCAAATGTTTCACTATGGATCTTCAGATGAAGGGCGGTATACAAATTTAATAAAGAATAATTTCCATTATAGCATGCAGGTAATAACTGCAAGCAATTAGTTTACATTGTAGTTCTTTTGAACAAGTATTCACCATCAAATGAAATTTGGCACAAGCTGGTATCTCAAGGGGCGGCTACAGATTAAACCTGGTAAGATATATTTTCCCTGCATTAATGTAGTATCTGTAGACCAATTAAGACTGAATAATTTTCTCCTTCCTTGTTTTAAAATGGTGTTTATTTCAAAATATTTCTCTAAGTAAGCACTTTTCTGCTGGAAATAAACTCTTGGTGGCTTTTCATATCTAAGATCAAGGGGCAGCAATTCTGCTTCAAATGCCTGTCGGTGAGTTCACATTGCACTTCAGAAATAACTTTAAAATTAAGATTCTTGTTTTACAAGATGGCACACTCACTTGATGCTTTGTGGTAGAAGTCAAAGGCCACTTCTTCCTCGGGAACCTTCTCTAACTGCTGCTTTTCTTCAAGTAGACCCAAAGCAAGAAGGTGAAGAACCTAGAGAAATGTAAACAAGTACTAAACCTAGGCTGCTTAGAATGAAACACCCTCTGGTTAGCACAGGGCTGGGGACCATTTTTCAGCCCAAATGGCCACATTCCCTTCTAGGCAACCTTTCCAGGGGCCACTTGCCAGCAGTGGGCAAGGCCAAAAGCAAAATTGGGTGGAACAACACATGTTAATTTATTCACATATCACTCTCCATCCAGGCAGGCAAGCAGCATGATGAGCTTGAAGACACATTCTAAGCAGGCAAAACCCCAAAAGGAGGGTGTGGAATAGGCTGGAGAGGGGTGTTGCTTGGGGAGTCCTGAAGGCTGCACAGAGACTAGGACAGCAAACATTTGGCCCTGAGGCTCCCCATCCCTGGGTTAGCAAGGTGACCTGGGTTAGCAAGGAACCCAAGGTAACCTGGCCATGATCTGGATACCTAGATGTCTAGCACATGATAGTAAACCTAAGGGCAGTGTACTGCAATAGACAAATGAACTGTTGATCATCGAGGTGCTGTTGAGCTGTCCTGCAGAGACTAATTTTTATTTATTCACTAGGGGCTGCTGCCCTTCTTTGCTCTCCTTTCCCAACCACCTTTCCCACACACTTGACCCAAAAACCCCTCCCTCTACACCTCACTCACTTGCTAGACTATTCGCCCACAGCTCAATCCAAGCAATTACTGCCTGCAATATTCACCATTTTATGACACTAATAGCTGTCCTGGGAATGGCATGATGAACAGGGTAAAGGTACCTTAAATACATGGGGGAAACACATTGCTCTAGGGAAGAGCATTCCAAAAGCAACCTACACCCCAAAGCAGAAATCTCAGAAGATACAGTCGACAAGCATACCATCTGGATCATGGCTTCTGTCCACAAGTGGCTTTCTAGCTCTAGTGCTCTTTGCAACACAGTTCTGAGAATATGCATCATGACATCAGAATTCAGAACGTTCACCACATTTCTGAAAGCAGCACTGAATTCAGGTGGAGGAGGCGGTGGCAGTGCTATAAAAAAGTAAACAAATACTCATGCATTACTAACTTCCCGGCCATCTTATGAAAGCAAAGAGCATAAACGTTCATATTTGGCTATAAGCAGTGGATGCTACTTTAATGTATCATACTTGTATGAAATAAAGTCCTGCCATATATACGTCCTCCTGTAAAGTGCTCTGGTAGAACTCTCAACTAACTGCAGCAGATATATGAACATATACTTTGGGTTTAGTATTGCCTCTCTCTCCAATGTTTGAGGCAGAATTTCCCTACTTAACTACTCAGAGAACTCTAAGTGGCAATGCTTGGGGACTGAATCTGGGACCTAATGGATGCAAAGCATGTGTTCTAGCACTGAGCAATGGGCTCTCCAAATGTAATTGCTCAGTTGGAAACGTTTACATCTGAACATGCCAACTAGAAAGTAACAGCATTTTCCTAAGCACACTGATACTGTTTAACAATTGCACAACACCCTTTTTGGATTTAAAATGTTTTGTACTACTGTAATTCACAGGGCATTTCAGTATAACCTTAGAGTAACTGATTGGCATTCCTGGAAACTTGTATGTTATTGTTTAACGTAGCACTACACATCAGCTCCTCTATGCAAATCACAATATTTGTAAAGAAAAACTACAAGGACCAAGCAATAGCTTAAGAGCTGAAGCATGAATAAGTGAAACAAGGTAAACAGAAATGGCTCTGACCCACATTTGTAGCAGTGGACAAGAGTGCAGGAAGGGTCCCCACTTCCCCCATGCTGGAGTGGGACATTAGTACCGATGGAGAATATCTATACGCAATCTCACAGCCTAGGGCGCTCTGCCAATACCGCAGCATCTATAGCAACAGCCAAGCCAATCTTAAGAAGCAGTCCTAACTGTGACGAAAGTGGATAGGTGATCCCAACCTCTAAAGCAGATGTAATCAGTTTCTTCATCAAAATAGTAGCACACAAAAGTGGCACAAAGTGCAATGAGTTCTCTCAATGGAAGTCACCATATATTGTACGTTTGCAAATAAATGACTTGGCAATCAGTAATATATTTATGTTCTCTGAACTTTACGAGGAATGAGGATGAATCATTTATGGATCAAAGCTGTTTTTATTTTTTTAAAAAAAACACTTCACCATCACTTCCTTGCACTTATTTCATTCATTGTTCCAACTTTTTACCTTCATCTCTGTTTTCTTGCACTCTTCTTTTCTTTTCCATATGCTCAGCCTGTAAGAAGAGTCAACTTGTTTACTCTCAAGATACCAATGAGATTTTTTGACTGAATGTATAGACAAAGAGCTTAGATTAGATTCCATCAAAAGCAATTAATGATCAAGTACTAGGAATTCTCTGAAGGCACAAAAAAGAGAACCTAGAGAAGAGACACACACACATATCCCTGAAAGCACACACTTGTTAAAGAGGTACTGGGGAGTAAAGCAATTGCTCCCCTTTCCTTTTTGTAGCCATCTATGAGCATAAACTAAATCTTTTTCTTTTCAGTACAGGCAGGCAGATGCTCACTCACACGTTAGACTAACAAAATTAGTGAAATAGTGCAAGGGTGAGGAAATTCTGAGTGTCAGCCTTTATGCTGAGCTACAGGATGCCAATAGGATTCCAAAAAGATGCTTTACTAAATTTAATCTGACCCTTATCTAGAAAGAAAGAAAAGGGGTTTTAGCAGCATTGTTTCAAAGTTCTGTAAATGTATAATTTTCACTTGGAAAAATACCTTATGCTACTATGTAATGAATGAACACATTAGGACATCTGCACTCTAGATAAAGAATACATATGAAGAACATGAAATCTGAGAATCCGTGTGGCACATCAAAGTCAATCTAGACTCAATAAATATGAATTAATCTAAAGCAATGAAATATATATGCAATTAGTTATTCCTTGAACAAGAATGATACAGGGGAGAAATAAACAAAAATGAGTAAAAGAGACCCGTGAGTCAAGCAGGGTTTTTCTTACCTCCACAACTTATACCCTCATCTTAAAAGACTCAGGGTACAGGCCCATGACATAAATATGCATAAAAATGTATAGTTGCAAATTTAGTCTGGCTTTCAGAGGGGAAAAACAAATTCTGGGTATCAGGGATCTCTAAGCTATGGGATGCCAACAGGATTTTCTAGGCACAGTACACTATATGTGGCTTGAGCCCTCTGCTCCATCCACAATCTTCTAGCAAGAAATGCTGCATATGTACATTAAAACTAAAACAAGTGCCTCTATGCAAATTGACATGGTAGGTGGCTGGGATCTCACCAGCACAGGGCTTTGTAATGTACCCAGATGCCCTACAACCAAAGTAAAAACACAATTTTTAAAAAGGGGAAAAGGACAGGAAACCTGGGTCTGAGACCCCGTATGCAAACTCCTGGTTACTAGGTTAATATTGTTTCTTCAAAATATATAATCACATTAATAATTGGCTGCTATCCACAGTGGCTTGCAATCTACTATGTATTTTGGAAAGTGGTTTGTATGTCTTCCTGTCCTCTAGGGGTTCAGCACTATGGATAATACTCCAAGGGGCAGGGGCCTCTGAGTACTAGGCGATTTGATCATAAGGGACATAGACAGCTAGGTTTGCGAGAGGCATGCAAGCAACATGGTAACTTCCCCACTTGGTGGGAAGGTTGTGGGTGTCACATCATGATTTCCTTACCTTGCTGCGCTGTGTTTTGGTGTAATGGTAAAAGAATATATTGTACTCTCTGCGGCATTCTTCCTTCAGTTCATAGACTCCATGGCCTGATACACCTGGTTTCCTTTATTTGAAAAGCATACAAACGATGCAATTATTTTCAGCAAAGCATTAAGGAGAACACACAGTCATTTCATACACACAACATACAAAGAATCCTGCTGACTCCAACCAAGGGCCTATTCAAAGTGTTGGTGCTGACCTTTAAAGCCCTAAACGGCCTCGGTCCAGTATACCTAAAGGAGCAGTTCCACCTCCATCATTCTGCCCAGACACTGAGGTCCAGCGCCGAGGGCCTTCTGCCGGTTCCCTCGCTACGAGAAGCCAAGTTACAGGGAACCAGGCAGAGGGCCTTCTTGGTAGTGGCACCTGCCCTGTGGAATGCCCTCCTACCAGATGTCAAAGAGAAAAACAACTACCAGACTTTTAGAGGACATCTGAAGGCAGCCCTGTTTAGGGAAGCTTTTAATGTTTAATAGACTATTGTACTTTAATATTCTTTTGGAAGCCGTCCAGAGTGGCTGGGGAAACCCAGCCAGATGGGTGGGGTATAAATAAATTATTATTATTATTAATTATTATTATTATTATTACTACATCTTGTCCACCATCCTGCTTCCCACAGTGACTAACTAGATGCCTAAGAGAAATGAGTAAGCAAGAAATGAGGGCAACAGCAACCATTACTCAGAGGCATGCTGCCTCTATCCTGAATATCCTCACAATTCAAAGCCACAGGACATGTTAGGAATTTTGAAGGACAAATGAGTGTGCACAGAACAGCACAGTGGCATCTAGCCAGTTTAATTTAGGGTGTTCCTTTGAACAGGCCACAGAATCCTCTGCAACATGCAAGTTCCTTCCACAGACACGCAGTTCTTCGATAAGCTGATTTGTAAAACCCTTCCCTCTCAAGGTAAACAAACATGAAAAACCACTACTGAAACATAGCAAATGCTTTTGAAATCTGAGTAAATGGATCACTGCTTCAACACAGTTTTTAATTCTTTCTGCAAAACTCTGAAAGCATATATATTTCAAATGTCTGGCTTCTTTATATGTGGCAAACACATGAGAATGTTCCTCTTCAGCCAGGCATTTGGCTGATTAACATTCTATGCCTTTCAAATGTGTTTGTGGGAAGAGGACTATTGGGTTTGTTTTTGTTTTAGTACAGTGGTACCTTGGTTCTTGAACTCAATCCATTCTGGAAGTCTGTTCGACTTCCAAAACGTTCACAAACCAAGGCACGGCTTCTGATTGGCTGAATGGCCCCAGAAACAATGCTGACAGCCAAAACACATCTTCGGCTTCCGAAAAACGTTCGCAAACCAGAACACTTACTTCCAGGTTTGCGGCGTTTGGAAGCCGATTTGTTCGTCAACTAAGCCTTTCGGGAACCAAGGTATCACTGTATGCATTTTGTGTTCTCATTTTGTATTTTTCTGTTGTGAACTGTCCTGTGATCTTCAGATGAAGGGCGGTATACAATTTTCATTAATTAATTATTAATATGCTATCACTATGCTTTAACTACTGATTTAAAAGAAACAAGAGCTTACTTGAATATGGCCACTTTGTGGATGACCTTCTCCAAACCAGTCTCATTGTTTTCCTGTTAAAAACATTTGATATGGCAAAGTAGTAAGAACAAAATATATGTGGTGAAAAACAGTAAATTAAAAGCAAATCAAGCTACCTAAGAATCAGTAGCTGATAAACATCTACAGATACCCAGATAAGACTGAATGTAGGCATTTATCACCATGCTATTAATGCAGCAACAATTCAAACGAGAGCAAGGGCATGGGGAGCTGTGAAGCAGATTGTTATTAAAAACAATCAAAATTTTCAAAATCGAAATGTTATTATGAAGGCCACTGTGTCTTAGCAAATAGTTAAAATATAATCATGTACTTTTAAGCTGATTTATCCAAAATGACATGGACACATGGAGCTCCTAGTGTGCATGGTTTTTTTGCAATCACAGTAATATTAAAGAAGTTCTGTGTATAGAATGGGGTGTGTGGGTGTGTGTGTTCTTGTGCTACAAGGAGTCTGGATTGTCTAAGAAAAGGATGTTAAACATTTCTGCTGAAAGAGGAACACAAGATAGAGGAAACATCAAGTACAGGAGGAACTTGAGCTGTGTTTCATTGATAATTTTATCATATACACGCCTAAAGAGTTCTGTGGTAAAGCAATCTGTGAACCTTCCTAGATTAATAGGAATCAAAGGAAGAAATCACTCACATCCTTGGGCAAAGATTTTGCGATAGCACTGTGAGCCATTGGTTCAATGCAAAGCAGATGAATAATTTCCCGCATAGTAACGTCATCTTTTGTCACATTACTGACTCCTGGCACATATCTTTCCCCTGGAAGCAAAAAGAAGAAGAAAGTAATCTCACATATATACAGTGGAATACATTTTCATGCATGCAAGAGATCATACTGTAATGATGATGGTTCCTAGACTAAAAATTCCTTGAAAGTGGCATGGAGCACTGCAAGGGGATGCATGGGCAGGGCTGAATATATTGTAGGTTAGATAAGAAGGCCGAGAATACTAAAGTGAGGTTACAGTCATACAAAATCTGAGGGCTCCTACACATACATACATACACGCACATATGCACACACACCAAGCCTCTCTCCATCCAAGCAAGCAAAATATATCATCACAGCAAGAACACATTTCAGCCAGGAAAAGCACTTGGGAGCAGAGCCAATGATCATGGCATGGAGAGAAGCCTGAGGATAAGACAAAGATGCCTGGAAGCATTTGGTCCATGGGCTGGAGGTTCCCCACCCCTGTTCTATGTCCTATCCCATGGGTGGGGAACTGGATCTAAGTCAGTAGGACAGATAGTTTTCTCCATGAACCCTCATGGGCCAAATCACCTTTTTCACATATGGAGTCTTCAAAAGCCCCTTCCAAAGCACAGCCTATCCCTTAGATTGATAATGAGCCAGCTGCTTTTATTTTGGTTTGGGTTTTTGTTTGTTTGTTTTGCATTTTTTCAGTCTTCTCTCTATTTCCTGTTGCTTCTAATACTCCCACGGTTAATTTTCCTTCCATTCCTTCTTGATTTTGCTCTAATTACAGATGGATAACTGCCTTCTGTCCAAGCTTGTTTTGAAACCCCAGCACTGGATCGATATAAAAAATGTATTACCCAAAGAGGCATTTAGTACACTGCACCCCACCTAACCACAATCGTATCTGTACACATGATTTTCAGGTTTTATTGAAAGAAAATACTTTTCATTCACTATACAAATGCTCTGTCTGCCATTGTCTTCCATCAGCCACTTCCAGAAGCCCATGTATACAGTATTCACATGTACTGTTTAAAGAAGTGCAGTGCTGCCAAATCAGTCAACAGCCACTGGAAACCCAACTTTTCACAATGGCATGTGCAGACTATTCAATGAGCTGCCTGTGCACACATCACAGCTAGGCTATTCCTTGGAGATACATAACCACACTGAATAGCTGAAGGTAAATCTACATATGTTTGCAAAGGAAATGAACCTTTTTAAGGGCCTAAAGAACCAGCTGATGGTGGAAGAAGGGGAAAAAAGGGACAATATTAAAAGGTGGCTCATAATTAACCCAGATTAGATATGTAATTAATATGCCACCTAACACACTTGTGTTAAGTGTGATGGTTTCAGATATTAAAGTTTCCATTACTGGAGAACCTATTCCATATTCTAAACAACCTCCATCTTTTCTAAAAAAGCAATTTTCCTTACCCACCACGTAGATAAGAACTTGAAGCATCTCTTCTATTAATGTGTTACACTGCTTATTCAAATCCTGTAATATTTCAAGAAAGCACAAATGAAGTTCTTGGAAAATATAATTATGTGAAATACTGAAGCCTGAGGTTTTCTGAAGCACTTGAAAACATATTAAGCTGACCCAACGCTTTATGAACAGAAAAATAACTGGAAAAATAGAGGGTGGAAACTAGTTGGTGCCCGTGAATTCACAGAAGGGCTTTTGATGCGCCACATGTTTCTGCAAACAGGACAAGTGGAGAGGCAGTTTTTGCCAATTCCTGCTTCCCCCTGCAGCCCCAACTGCCACCTAAAAAATCAGCTCCAGAGTGTTAGGGAAACCTACAGAGCAGGGAAGCAGTAGAAAGGGCAAACTGCCAAGAATCCCTCTCCTGTTTGTGTGAATGCATCAGTTGGGTCAAAGGTCCTTCCATGACCACAAGGGCAGCAACTGAATTCTACCCAGTATTTAAAAGTTCCCCCACCAGCACTCATGTCAGAAAATTAAGCCTACACGCTGGATGGAAATAATCTAAAGAAGAGAATCAAAGAGAAGGGAAGGGAAGGGATAAATTCCATTTTTAAGTTGTAAAGCTGCAATAATTTATGGTACAGAAAGTCTATGTGATTTAAGAAAGTCTCTTCAGTGGAAATTACTGTTTTTAGCAAAATATTGCAATTTCATTGAAGGAGATAGAAACAGTGGGTTTCCACATGCTTATGATTTCAAGGGTAAAAATTAACAGCATATAGCTCTGTACCTGGTCTTTGGTTGGCACAATTCTCTTAAAGGCATCAAGCAGTTCATATCGTTGGAGTACAAGCAAGAGGAAACTGTTTGGATCCATAAGTGATGCCCCAATCTATCAGAAATATACACATTCAATACCATTAGAGAACAGAGAATTTAGGCAACAAACAACACACTGTTACTATTAGACCAGAGAAATTGCAAACATACTCACCTGAAGGAAAATTATATCCTTATCATACATTTCTTCTCGACATTTAACATCCTGATAATAAAACATCTGAAAGAAAATAAAACGTATATAAAGCTTCATATACAAAGCCGTCCTCTTTGGCATAGGCATTCAATTCAGCAAAACACTACTCCTTCCTACCCTTAACTTTGTTATAAAAAGTTTTCAGCTAGCACATTTCTGATACTGGCAATATCCCCTAAAACTGCATATGACAAAACCTCTTGGCTTCAATTCAGAGAAAGACCAGCAGAAGGTGGCCAAAAGGTGACTCCCTTCTCCAACTCCTCACTGAAAGAAGCTCTCACTCACAGAATATTTTCTTAATTTTAGGAGATCCCTTATTTCCTCTTGAATTACAGCCCCCACCATTCAGGATCATCCTTCAATTCCCAAGAGAGATTTTCTAGGAAACTGCCAGAGGAATGAGACGAATCGCCCAAAATCAGGCAGGACGTCTCGTTTCACTGAGTCCCTTTCTACCAGGCCTCCTTTGGATCCAAGCATTTGTTTATTTAAGCTCATAATCACAACTTAAAAAACATTTAGTGACAGAGGCTGCTTCCATTTTCAGTTCAGAATTGTGAACTAAGTTTTAGTGGTTAGCGTTACATGGAAACATGGCCAACAGAAGGATTAAACATCAGCATATATATTTATTGTAATTTCAAAATATAACTTTATATGTACCTCATGCCTTTCTATTTACTTCCTGTTTGTTGGACACAATCCACACGCCTTCCCTTAAAGTTGTGCATTTGTCACAAAATATTTTCCCACACTCACACTCATTAATTGTATCTAAGAACATACAGTAGGATAGGAAAGACTGCATTCATACATTACAAACTAACAAAATCAAGTTTGATTATTTCTATCTATTTCGCCCATTAACCACTTTACCTGGACTTTGCACTAGACAGATTTTATTTTATTTTTATAGCTAATGGGCATTACATGGGCTTTGTACCACAAATTTTAGGATCAAGTATATGACCCTTCATTGTTACATGACACACAGTGAAAATAATCTTACGTATTCAAAATTAGAGCTATCTGGAAAATCCTTGTTCGAGGCTTACAAATCTTGATTTTAATGTTTCTGTCTTGTACTTTAGGGACAGTCAAATATAATATCTAGAGTATTATCTATCAGATTTTTATCCTGTCCTTCCTCCAAGGAACTCAAAGAAGCACAAATAATCCCCTGCTTGTACTCTCAAAACAACTCTCATAACAACTCAATTAAGAGTTGGTGACTGGCCCAAGGTACCTAATGTACCCTTTCTACCTACTGAATAAGCCTTGGAGTAGGTTTTTTGTCCAGTAATTTGCTTGCAATACTTATACTGGCAACTTAGCCTCTGTGGGATATATAGCACTACATGCGAGAATATATTTGTAGTGAAATTTGGTTTGGTACCTGGCTTATCAGAGACAGCCCGTTCCTTCTCCACATTTCGGCAGCAACCTGAGCAACCAATACTAGACAACGCAAAGGATATTCCACCAACATCTGCACCTGGAATTCTTCCTAAAGGTTTTTTAAAAGATTGATTGCGTTAAAACAACCGGCATTTGCACAAGGAAATCAATTACTACAGATAAGTTAGTAAAAAAGGGGGACAGGATTTTCTCTGCTATTATTAAAAGAAAAATACAACAAAAGGTTAGATGCAGAATTTAATTGCACTTTATTACGCTAGGCTCTAACACTGTATTGTGTGGTTTCAGCCAGGTCAAGTCAGTATTCATTCAGTGTTCAGCCACTACAGACTTATATCCTTCCTTAAGGAAAATGACTAATGATTCTGTATTGTCAATTATTGATGGGAAACAGCATCAATCTTTTTTGCAGAATAATTATTTATATTTAGCAGCCAATAACTACCCACAGTAAGGTACTGCAGTTTAAGATCTCCTGCCATTAAGAGCTTATTTGTATCCTTTATTAGTTCTCTGCTACATTTATATCCCACCTTCTTTCTATGGAACTCAAGACGCCATACCTGGTTCTTCCCCTTCCCATTTTATCCTCAGAATAACTTTTTGAGGCAAGTTAGGTTTAGAGGGAATGGCTGGCTGAAGCTCACTTAGTGATCTTCATCACTGGGTAGGGAACTGAGCCTGGAATTGGATCAGGGAGACCCAACAAGTTAACCACTAGACCCCAATGACTCTCATAACTGGCTGAACTTTCAAATACTATTGAGTATCCAGTGGAGATACTTACAGATGTTATGAATTCTTGGAGTCTGGAGATTACATCTGTTTTGCTCAGCTGTATGTGCAGACCTAGGAAATACATTAACAGTAATGTTTGTATCAATTTGTAAGTTACAAGATGCATTTGTATGCTTGTTGTCTAAATACAGGCTTATAATTAAGCTCTCTCCTCACTAACAATGATCTGTAGCCAAGAACCAACATTGGCCAGAGAGCTTAATCACAAGCCAGGTTTCAGAGAGCATACGAAGTCCGACTTTGGCTTAGCTTAGTGAAGTGTGGGAGAAAATGGACTCAGGAGGAACTAAGCAGCTGCAAGATCCTCTCTGGGAGCCTGCACATTTTCACAGTCCAGGTAAGTCATAGTTTGGCTTACTATGCCATATGCACCAAGCCCTAATAAATTTATACATGCTGTGAAGAGATACTTTCTGCTCTCTGCTGTATTAGAAGCCAGTCACCCAATCAAACTGACTGGCAAGTAGATTCAGAACAGCAAAATATTTTTTTCCTTTACAAGAACAGGAATTCAAAATGGTGTTATTAGCTTAGATTGTAAAGATGATTTGAAAAATTCATGCAGGAGAGATCTAACAGTAGCTATTATTATCCATGATAGTTAAATACAACCTCCAGGTTCAGAATCCTTCTCAAAATGTGAGCAGGAACTGACTGCAATTCTCATAAGCTGCAAGCACAGGACACTCACCAGCAAGCATCCTGGACAATGGTAGATGTATGCTGACAGGATCTGCAGACACCCTGAAGCGCTTGCTTTCCAAAGTATGGCCGCATAAATGAATCACTGTCTTGTCCCATGAATAATTACTTGCACTACATCTCAATACTGTTGCATGGCATTCCTTGTAAGCAGTCACCAACAGTGCTTCCTAGAATGGACAATATTTTTATAATTATATTTAAATATACAGCCTTAAATTTAACTGTGCTTAAAAAAATCATACCGTCTCATTTCTATGTTTTAATATGGGTCATGCGTTTTATTTTTGATCAGCGGCAATGGAATTGTGCATTGCTATATGTTTAAAATAAACCTAATTCCTAAGAAAATTGGTTACTAATTATCCTGTAAGAATATGGATTGTTCAATTGCATCTCTTAGGAACAACTTTCTAGTCATTTCTTCTGTCACAATTCTGGTCAACCACACGTAAATATAAAAGCAGAACTGTCTTTTCCAGATGACTTTCAAATACTTTGCTGAAACTATGTGTTTTCAACTCCATAGCTTTATGAATGATCTGCATCTCCAGAAGCCACTTTTCAGCTTTCTATATAGAGGATTGTGAAAATAAGTAGGAGACTTTCAAAACAGATTTTGAAACAACAAGCTTAGCAAAGATTCAGATCATCAGCCTAATCCAGAATCTGTATCTTCTCACTATTCAGTGTTGTTTATCATATACAGCGGGCCCAGAACTTACGCTCACTTTACATACGCAATTGCAACCTTACACCAAGGGGTGGGGTTGGTGGTTGGTAGGTAGGTAAATAAATAAATGAACGGGGGAAACCCACCATTTCCTGCCCCCCATTTATTATCCCCCTCCCCACACACACCAAGTGGGTTTTCCATGCTTACCAGCCTCTGGGATGCTCCCAAAGCCGCCTTCCCAATGTCCAGCAAGCAAGGTGGCGCCTTCCTTGCCAGCCTCTGGAAATGAGATGCGAGCGCTCTGGAAGCATCCCAGAAGCTGGTATGGAAAGTCCGCCTCGCTTATTGGACCTCCTATGACCTTTCCAGAGCCTGGTAAACAACCCTCCACCTCGCAGTAGGGCAGTTCCAGGGGTTCCTGACTCTGTGCGATTTTGCAGACCCCCCCAGAACCAAACCCTTGTGTATGGGGATGGGCCAACTGTATCGCATCCAGCTTCAATTAGAAGGGAAATCTTCTTTCATTTTTTTTTTTTGATAAATACAAATATTTCCACAGATCCTGCCGAGTAAATATCAACTGAAATTATCATAGCAAAATTTTGCTATGTGAACTTTTAAGAGTTCAAGGTAAAAAAGATTCATGGGTTAAAGTTGAAGCACCAGGCTTGTCAAGGTCATGGGGAGTGGTATGTTCACAAGGCACCTCCAAAGATTTGAGGCTGCTCCATAGACAAGTATTTGTTTCTACAGATAACGCTGCAATTTTATTGAAACAGGCTTACGTCGCAGGCACACCACTCCTGAAACATCAGGAGAATAATCTTCAGTTGCATCTGGATGACAATGGCTGCTTCCCAATCTGGATCCACCTCAATGTGCTGGCCAACTTGCCTTTTTATTTCCTCCATGCCCTGCAATGAAATCCCCGCCCCAAACATTATGTGACTAAACTGAGGCTTGTATCAGACAGATGTTCAAACCATGAGTCTAAGCAAATAAAAGTAAGCGCCAACTAAAACAAGGCCATTTATATTTCTACAGTGTGGATAATTAATTAATAAGGTTTATTTACTGCTTAATCAACAGGAAAACTCTAAGCAGTTACGGTGTGTGTTTTAATAGCATCCCAAATTATATACATATGTAATTGTGCTTGTAAAATCCAGAGCTCTGCTGAATAAAGTTAATTCATACTCACCTGAAAGAAACTGATTTTCTTTAAAACATCTGAGAAGAACGCTTATGAATCATATTAGGACAGCACATTAATATTGTATTGGGCATATGGGCAGGTTCATAATACAGTAACCATATATATATAGCAAATAAGAGATGTATATATTATATACTGTACCTGCATGCAAATAAGAATCTTCAGGAAAGAACGGAACCCTTCCAAAAACTGCTCTCGCAGTTTGTCTGTCCACACTGTAGGCTTACTGATTAAAATATACCTGTTGCAAAAAAAGTTGAATTTCATAAGTCTTTTCCAGACAAAGCAGGCTTTAAATTAGGGTATGGGGCTGGAATCGTATGTGGCTGGGAAAGATTTTGAAACTCCTTTGAGGAAATACCCACTGGTGCAGCAATAAAATGGCTAACACATTTGCAAAGCTAAGCAGGGTCCAGGATGGATTCAAACTGGATGGGGGACTATGCGGTGAGATTCCTGCATTGTAGGGGGTTGGACTAGATGACCCTTGGGATCCCTTCCAACTCTAGAAGCCTATGATTCTATGATTTCTCTTTCTTGGAAATAGTGACAGCCTGGCTGAAATGTGGAAGTACAAGCTGACCTTGATCACTGATATCCTCTTGCACAACTGTGTCTGCACTAGGTCTACCCAGAAAAGGGTGACATAAAACACAACACAAGAGATAGATTGTTTTTTTAATAGATATTGATCAGTTTGCAACATATAGTAAGGAAGTATGCCCTGATGGTGGTAATGACAGACACATAAACTATTATTCTCCACTGCCAGTGAATTGTGCCAGTAATTGGTTCTAGAATGACAAAATGGCCAATCTAATTTCTGACCATGATTTTAAATTTCAGTTGAGACACTGAATAGTGGGCTATGTCTGACCAGGCAATGCTTCATTTATATTCATTTGCCTAAGGTTGTAGTTGCATATCCACAATATGATTCAGTTCTAATGTGGCATGTTTTGCAATGCTTATCCCAGACACAAACACTTTTCTGCAACATGTAAAGAGCTAGGTAGGATAAAACAAATATTATTGCCTAATGAAGCACGTACTCATCTCCACAAACAATAACACTTACTTGAGGTCATATATGACTGCATATACTCGACCCATTTTCTCTTGGCTGTAATCCTGGAAGTTGAATTTGCCATTTTTATCCAGATATTTGGGGAGCTCTTCAAGCAGCGTCTCTGTTATGACAGAGATTACATTTTGCTCTTCAATGAGATGGCGGGCCTGCGAGGGAAGCAGTAACAATTGTTTTTATTTCATTTTCAATTTTATTCAATAAAGGTAAAACCTTCAGATGTATTGCTGCTTTATGTAAGCAGTACTACAGAAGTAGAGTGTAGGTACAGTGAACCACTGGCCCTCCGGATTTGTTGGACTCCACCTCTCACCAGTCTCAGCCATCTTGGTCAGGGATGATGGGTTACAAAGCGTATTTTATCACATCACTGTCTTCTGTCTTTGCAAATCAATTTTGCCAGCAAGGCTTAAATACTTAAACTGCTTTGAGTTTGTTTGTTTTCTACCATCAAGCAGCATATAAATAAATTACACAGTGTCAGCACACCACCAAAAATTTGGCTTTTGGGGTGGGCTTCAGTACAGAAGAGAGGGCAATAAGGCCTTGTAAGTAGGACACTGCTTGTGGTTCATGGGATCCAAACTATAATAATGCTGTCCTGAAGGCTGATTGTAGGCTCTTGACAAAAGGAAAACAGTAGAATATAGAGATATGGTTGCCCCTTTGGTTATACAAACAAAAATTAAATATGTTTGCTTATTTAAAAAATGAACGCATAAACTACTATAAAGGTTATTTGCAAGATTTCTTCTCACATATTGCTTATTGTTTCCACTGTATGATGCCAGACCAAGTCAGATAGGAATACAAACAAGCAATGTATCTTAAGCAGAATTCAACCAAGTCTTTCTTTGGAAAAACTTGATTTTCTTGCAGTGTCCAAGTTACCTACTAGTATTGCGACTAACACAATACAAACTGTTCTTTATATACTTGGATGATTGGCTGTACGTACCAGTGTAGGAACGGTGAACATCTGAACCGAAAGTGCTGTCACAGAAATTTGCCTTTCATGATCATCACTGATGTATTCGCTCTGTAGTTTTTTGTAATGCTGTGAAGAGAAGAATATGCAAAAAAGGTGATTGCCTGGCAGGAACTTAAGGCCAGAGGCATCATGAGGAGAGCATAAGGTAAGTGAAATCCCCACCTTCCAGCAGGAACACACATTATTTCACCAGACAACCCAACTGTGACAGACCAATGTTCTTTCCTTTTTAAAATTTAAGACAAAGAAGGACTCTGTTTGGACCACTGGGCAGCATGGTTCTGCTTGTGTCTTCCATGACTGCAGTAGGCGGTTGGACACGCCCACACTTTCAACATACAGCACAGGCAAGTCACCTTTGGCACAAGGTAACAGAGTGATCTTATCGGCCAAAGAATGGGGAAATCTTCTCTGTAGATGCTTTGAGTAATTAAATGGCAATCATTTAGATGAACACTGTTTCTACCTCAGGACTTTGATGAAGTTTGTTGTAAAAGCCTCCCCCCCCCAAAAAAAATCAACTTTGAGTGATGCTAATGATTGCTGAACCTCATCCACTGTTTGAACCTCACTGAATTTTCTCTTTGCGGAGGACCTTTAATGAACTCATTTAATGAAGAATTTAATCTCTACTGTATGTTTATTATTCTATTACTAGTTTTGAACACGTGCCAAAAAACTTACAAATGCTTAAAATAAATAAGAAGTAAACAAAGGGCTTAACAACATTATCATTATTATTTATTAAATTTATATATTGTCCTTCATCCGAAGATGGCAGTTTACAGAACTGGACATAGAGTTGGATGCCCAACTCCCGTCAGCCCCAGCCAAGATAGCCAGAGGTCAACGTGGCGGCAAAGCTGGGGCTTCATGGTGTATCAGCACAGTCAGTTTGATGCTTTTGCCAGTCTACCACCTTGCCCCACCCTCTCTCACCTCTGCCTCCTAGTGAGTGGCAGTGATGCTGCTGCCATATTGCTATGGCTCTGCTCCACTGGGCAAGCTGCAGTCAATAATTTTTTTAAAAGGCTTTGCAAAACATACCTTGCTATTATAAGGGTGAAAAGTAACAGGAGAGATAAATTACCTTAACAAATTCCATGGCAAACCTTTTTTTGTACTCCATTTCCATGAAAAAACTGCTGAAGATTAGTTCATGCAAGATCTTCCTGGCTCCTGAAAAATTCAACGGTTCATGTTTACTCCCATAAGAAAAAGAGAATGAATATCTAATTATAAGAATATTTTGTTCCATTTTACAAAATGCAATGTTTATCTCAATAACGGAGTAAGTAATAACAGTGCTTACATTTCGAAATATATATACAATTGCCAAATGTACAATTGCCAAGTATAGTCCAGTTGGGAAACCATATTTGTTTGAAAACCTAGACATCAATCCTTTTTTAAAATTTAAAAAGTAGCTGTCAGACTATTTCCAAATATCAAAGTATCACTCATCTTAAACTGAGTGGCAGACACTGAAGGGTTAATACATCACAGCTAATTGTGAAGAAGCTCAATTAACATCATTTCAACTTACCTTTGTAAAGTTTTGCATCCCAAAGCATCAGTGTGCTTATAAGACAAGGTTTCTCTGAATCAATTTCTTCTTTTAGACATATTTGACAAAAGATTTGACGAAAGTCACCTAAAATAGAGTAACATAATCTGGATGGGTTATTGGAATGATTGTGGCCTGCTTAAAAGTTGTATTCTTTTGATTAAAAAAAACTTTTGCCAATATATCTTCAGATGTAACACAATAGTATCTCTATTCTGAAATAAATGCCTTACATTTGCAAGGACCCCACCTCATCGCTGACCCTGTATTGCCATGTTTATCTTTCAATCAATATTATTTCTTTTGAAATAAGAGTGTAAAGTTTCTAGAACTACTATTGCCTTGCATATTTGAGATGTTATTCTGGACCAGCTTTGAACAAACAACACCAATAACTTATGACTACTTATTCAATTTCCAACCCTGCCTCCATCGTAAGGTCCCAGGGCAGCTTACAATTTTAAAATATAATATTAAAACAAGTTTAAGCAAACTCGTGGTATTTATGCTAGCCACTTTTATTCTGAATTAAAAGCAGCCATGAGGAGCACATGAATTGATAATTAGGAACATGGCCTACAAGAACATCCCCAGCTAGCCATCACCATATAATTGAATATTTATTTCTGGGTCAGCCAGGGACAAGAAGACCAGAATAGCATTTCTTTTGGTACCGCAGAAAAACACAAGGAAATTGAGGCTTGAATTCAAGTGAATGGGAATATTTCCCAAACACTTCTGTGAGTTTTATATCTGGACATTTTGTAAGATGCAAATCCTTAGTATAAAATGTTTGCACATGAAAAATGATTTTTAGTATCATTAATAGCTTTGGACATTTAGAATCATAGAATCATAGAGTTGGAAGAGACCACAAGGGCCATCGAGTCCAACCCCCTGCCAAGAAGGAAACACCATCAGAGCACGCCTGACATATGGTTGTCAAGCCTCTGCTTAAAGACCTCCAAAGAAGGAGACTCCACCACACTCCTTGGCAGCAAATTCCACTGTCGAACAGCTCTTACTGTCAGGAAGTTCTTCCTAATGTTTAGGTGGAATCTTCTTTCTTGTAGTTTGGATCCATTGCTCCGTGTCCGCTTCTCTGGAGCAGCAGAAAACAACCTTTCTCCCTCCTCTATGTGACATCCTTTTATATATTTGAACATGGCTATCATATCACCCCTTAACCTCCTCTTCTCCAGGCTAAACATGCCCAGCTCCCTTAGCCGTTCCTCATAAGGCATCGTTTCCAGGCCTTTGACCATTTTGGTTGCCCTCCTCTGGGCACGTTCCAGTTTGTCAGTGTCCTTCTTGAACTGTGGTGCCCAGAACTGGACACAGTACTCCAGGTGAGGTCTGACCAGAGCAGAATACAGTGGCACTATTACTTCCCTTGATCTAGATGCTATACTCCTATTGATGCAGCCCAGAATTGCATTGGCTTTTTAGCTGCCGCGTCACACTGTTGGCTCATGTCAAGTTTGTGGTCAACCAAGACTCCTAGATCCTTTTCACATGTACTGCTCTCAAGCCAGGTGTCACCCATCTTTTATTTGTGCCTCTCATTTTTTTTGCCCAAGTGCAATACTTTACATTTCTCCCTGTTAAAATTCATCTTGTTTGTTTTGGCCCAGTTCTCTAATCTGTCAAGGTCGTTTTGAAGTGTGATCCTGTCCTCTGGGGTGTTAGCCACCCCTCCCAGTTTGGTGTCATCTGCAAATTTGATCAGGATGCCCTTGAGTCCATCATCCAAGTCATTGATAAAGATGTTGAATAAGACTGGGCCCAAGACAGAACCCTGTGGCACCCCACTAGTCACTCTTCTCCAGGATGAAGAGGAACCATTGATGAGCACCCTTTGGGTTCGGTCAGTCAGCCAGTTACAAATCCACTGAGTGGTAGCATAGTCAAGACCACATTTTACCAGCTTCTTTACAAGAATATCATGGGGCACCTTGTCAAATGCCTTGCTGAAATCAAGGTAGGCTACATCCACTGCGTTCCCTTCATCTACCAGGCTTGTAATTCTGTCAAAAACGAGATCAGGTTAGTCTGACATGACTTATTTTTCAGAAATCCATGCTGACTATTGGTGATCACAGCATTCCTTTCTAGGTGCTCACAGACTGTTTGCTTAATGATCTGCTCCAGAATCTTCCCTGGTATTGATGTCAGACTGACTGGGTGGTAATTATTTGGGTCCTCTCTTTTCCCTTTTTGAAAATAGGGACAACATTTGCCCTCCTCCAGTCTGCCGGGACTTCGCCTGTTCTCCAGGAATTCTCAAAGATGACTGCCAGTGGTTCTGAGATCACATCTGCCAGTTCTTTTAATACTCTTGGATGCAGTTCATCTGGCCCTGGAGACTTGAATACATCTAGACTAGCCAAGTATTCTTGTACTATCTCCTTAGTTATTCTGGGCTGTGTTTCCTCTGCTGAATCATTTGCTCCAAATTCTTCAGGTCGGGCATTGTTTTCTTTATCGGAGAAGACTGAGGCAAAGAAGGCATTGAGGAGTTCAGCCCTTTCTGTGTCCCCTGTTTGCATTTCACCATCTTCTCCTCTGAGTGACCCCACTGTTTCTTTGTTCTTCCTTTTGCTACGAACATACCCATAAAAGCCTTTTTTGTTGCTTTTAACCTCTCTAGCAAGCCTGAGTTCATTCTGTGCTTTAGCTTTTCTGACTTTGTGTCTACACGTGCTGGCTATTTGTTTGAATTCCTCTTTGGTGGTTTCCCCCTTTTCCATTTTTGTACACATCCTTTTTAATCTTAACTCAGTTAAAAGTTCTTTAGATAGCCACCCTGGCTTCTTTAGGCACCTTCCATGTTTCCGTCTCATTGGTATTGCCTGAAGTTGTGCTTTTACTATCTCCCTCTTAACAAACTCCCAGCCATCATGAACTCCCTTTCCTTTTAGTATTACTGCCCATGGGATCTCACCCAGCACTTCCCTAAGTTTTATGAAGTCGGCTTTCTTAAAGTCAAGAAACTGAGTCCTAGTATGCTTGGCTGCTCCTTTCCGCTGTATAGTAAACTTCAGAAGAGCATGATCACTTGCGCCTAATGATCCTTCCACTTCTACCCCACTAACCAGGTCATCAACATTGGTTAGGACCAGATCTAAAATGGCTGTTCCTCTTGTTGCTTCTCCCACTTTCTGGACAATGAAGTTGTCTGCAAGGCCAGTGAGGAATCTGTTTGACCTTATGCTCTTGGCTGAGTTTGACATCCAACAAATATCCGGGTAATTGAAGTCCCCATTACTACTATCTCCCTTCCTTTTGCATGCTTGGCCATCTGTTCCAGGAAGGCATCATCTATGTCCTCCGTTTGGCTTGGGGATCTATAGTAAACTCCCACAATGAGGTCACTGTTATTCTTCTCTCCCTTAATTTTGACCCAAATGCTCTCACTTTGGCTTTGAGGTTCTAAATCTTGGATCTCTTCACAGGTATACACATCCCTGACATATAACGCCACTCCTCCTCCTTTCTTGTCTGGTCTGTTTTTCTGAAATAGATTGTATCCCTCCATTGTTACATTCCAATCGTGGGACTTATCCCACCAGGTTTCAGTGATGCCTATTATGTCATATTTAGTTCGCTGTACCAAGAGCTCAAGCTCATCTTGTTTATTTCCCATGCTTTGCGCATTAGTGTACAGACACTGAAGTCCATTAATCATTTCCCCGTGTCTCTTATTTAAGGATTTTTTCCTCCCACCACTAGGTCTGCGTGCTGTTTGCTCCATTTGGTCTATGACATTTGGATGATCATCTTCATCAATTGATAGACTCCTACCTTCAGGAGCACTGTCTCCCTCCCCCACATTAGTCAGTTTAAAGCCCTCCTGATGAGCTTTCTGAGATTTTTGGCAAAAACATTTCTCCCAACCATTGTGAGGTGCAGCCCATCGTTTGCCAGAAGTCCATCTTCAAGAAACTGCAGTCCGTGATCTAAGAATCCAAACCGTTCCTGTTTACACCATTTGCGAAGCCAGCTGTTCACTTCCACTATTTTTTCCTCTCTCCCTGGGCCACGTCGTTCAACTGGGAGGACAGATGAGATGACAATTTGTGCATTTAATTGCTTCGATTTCCTGCCCACAGCCTCGTAGTCTCTTTTGATCTTCTGGAGGCTATTGCTTGCAGTGTCATTGGTTCCCACATGAACCAAGAGGAAGGGGTATTTGTCAGTGGGTTTTATGATTCCTTGCAGTCGTTCAGTTACATCTTGGATCTTAGCCCCAGGGAGACAGCACACTTCCCGAGACATCTTGTCAGGCCCACAGATCACTGCTTCTGTTCCCCTCAGTAGGGAATCCCCTATCACCACTACACGCCTCCGCTTAGGTCTGGTCGGGGTTCTTCCGTGAGCTGTCCGTTCCAAGGTCGCCTGCACATTCCCTGAGGACTGACTTTGCTGCTCATCTTCATATACCTGATCGACTGTAATGAAGGAGAGATCCTCAAATGGAGTCTGCTCTTCGTCTTCCATGCTAGGGGAGAGGACCTCAAAGTGATTGTGTATTTCTAAACAATCAGAGCGAACCCTGGGCCTCCTACTTCTTTGAGTCACGTTTCTCCATATATCTGGCTCCTGTGTTGGTGAACTAGCCTCCTTCTCAGGGGAGTCCCCTGTCTCCTCCTTGGTGGAGACGGTGTGCTCTGTTGCTTCCAAGAAGAGCTCCAGCTCTCTAATTCTTTGGAGCGTAGCTACACGTTCCTCCAGTTGCTGGACTTTGTCTTCTAAGAGGGCAATCAACATGCAATTGCTGCAGGTAAAGCTGCCTGCAACCTTTGGCAAGATGGCAAACATTGCGCAGGAACCGCAGGCGACTGCAGCTGTTCCCTCCCTCTCCATCTTGAGAACGTGTCGTTGGGGGTGGCTACAGCGGTCCTCCATCATAAAAAGCGTGAAGACAGGACAAATAACTCCCCCCCAAAAAAAACCTAGGTCTCCCCCAACAAACGTTTGAGACTAGCTAATCAGCCACAAAGAAACACACACACAAGAAAAGAAAGAAAATTTAAGAAAGACTGGTCCTGCATATACTGCTAAGGAAAGAATTCTCTTGTCAGTGTTTCGGCATTTGATTATGATACAGAGCAATTTAAGGCGCTTACTTGAGTAGCTCATAAGTTTGTTTAACCAGGAACCAAGACGCAGAGCAAATTTCTGGTGAGCCATAATATCAGCATGAAGAACCTTAACATTTAGGGGACCTTGGGAAACGTTGTTCGAATGTTTCTAGAAGATTAAAAAAAAAAGACATTAGAATTAGAGGATATTAACTGATTCTTTTATCTTGCCTACTTTTTTCCTGTCATCTTCTCTATCATGCCATTTGTACTTCCAACTAAGGAAAAGAGAGGACAGCTGGAACAGCTGGAGCACAGTGTTTGAAGCTTAATTGATTAAATGTTACAAAAAAATTAGGATAAGAAAAATCTGAAAAGGTCAAGAATGATTCGAAGTCTTTGCATCTGTAAAGGAACAGAACAATTATTCAGTATTAACTGGGTATATTTGACACATTAATAATAATAATAATAATAATAATAATTTTTTATTTATACCCCGCCCTCCCCAGCCAAGGCCGGGCTCAGAGCGGCTTACAAGCAATAATAAAAACAAGATGAATGATTACAACTTAAAAACAAAAATAAAATACAACATTAAAATAATGGAACATTAAAATATTAAAATGTAGCCTCATCGCAGGAGGGGAAGGAAAAGAAAAAAGAAAGAGAGGGAGGGAGGGAATCAAATTCTCATGAGGCAGAGCGTTCCACCAGGCCGGAGCCAGAGTTGAAAAGGCCCTGGCTCTGGTTGAAGCCAATCTAACTTCCTTAGGGCCTGGGACCACTAGGGTGTTGTTATTTATGGACCTTGAGGCTCTCCGTGGGGCATACCAGGAGAGGCGGTCCCGTAGGTATGAGGGTCCTAGGCCGTGAAGGGCTTTAAAGGTCAAAAGCAGCACCTTAAATCTGACCCTGTACTCCACCGGGAGCCAGTGTAGCTTGAAAAGCACACATAATTTCAGGAAGTTACCTTAATCTCTTCTTTTGCTTCCTGGCAAACAGCATATGATCCTGCCTTGACAGCCTTCCGGCCCTGAATAATTAGAAGAAGTGACATATTTAGGTCGGGTAATGGCACAACTTGATCTTATAACAATATGTAAACAAAGGCAAGACTGAACTAAGGATGTTCAACTGTTTCATAAGCAGCTAATGATATTGCATGGTTTCAACTCTTTATCTTTGGAGATTTCATTAGACTGATGCACCCTATGGTGTGGGCGCATTTAGAATATTGTTTGTACTGACCCAGTTGTAATGTTGTGGTGTGTAGCTCGATTTCCATGGATGGGTAAGGGCTCAGTGTTGGAGAATTTGCAGAAGGTCCCAGATTCAATTCCTGGCATTTCCAGGTAGGGTTGAAAAAGATGCTTGCCTTAAACCCAGGAGAGCTATCTCCAAACAGTGCAGACAATACTGAGCAAGATGGACCAATGGGGTGCCTTAGCTTAGTGTAAGGCAGCTTCATGTCTCTCAAGACAGGCCCTAACCCTGAAGAGTTACTGTATGGCCCAATTCATCCCAATGAATCCTTCCCTCATGATTCATTGCCCAAATCTACATATAGATAGATATAGATGACACAGCTATACATATACATATTCCTGCTGAGATTTACCTTGATAAAAGACACTCCTTTCAATATATATTTCATATAACTGCCTGGAAAAGTAGGATCACAATATGGAGTGCCACAAGCAACATCGCACACCAAGTGATATTGCTTCCGAGAGAGGAAAATGCTGTCATGCTCCACCAAGAGGCAGTGCAATGCCAATACTGTTGGGAAATGGTGACGTTCTGTTCCTCTCTCTTCTCTTCCGTGGAAATAATCCCTTATCTCCAAAACAGAATTGTTACAGAACACAGTGGCAGGAATGTGACAAACCCACAACCACAGGGTACAGTCAAACTTTGGTTGTCGAACGGCTCCGTTTTCAAACGTTTCAGTTCCTGAACGCCGAAAACCCGGAAGTAAATGCTCCGGTTTTCGAACGTTCCTCGGAAGTCAAACGTCCAACGTAGCTTCCGTTTGAATGAAAGAAGCTCCTGCAACCAATCAGAAGCCGCGCCTCGGTTGTCAAATGTTTCGGAAGTCGAATGGTCTTCAAGAAGAGATTACGTTCAAAAACCGAGGTTTGACTTTATTAGCTGATAACTCTTATTGTTTTTTCACCTACCACTTATGAAGCATTTTGGCTTTCCTTGCTAAGTAATGGAAGCAAATTATGGACCACAACAGTACAATTGGCTCTCTCTCCACTGGGCTACAATATGGTACAGTTGTAACAGGAATGGTGCATCCTACCAACCTCTTTATCTATAGCAGCAGTATATATCTGGGCTTCCCCAAGCTCACAGCCAAGAGTTCTTTGTAGGCTATAGATAACATGGTCATAAGAATGATGTTCATCATTGAAAAGGACACAGTAGTATTTGTCCAGCTTCTCTCTACTGGGAGGAAACCAAAATGTCATTCTAACAAGAGAATACTAAAATAAACTCCAACATACATATTGGGCAACAAAACAAATGTAAGCCATTAAGTAAAATAGGAACAAGCAATCAAATTGGAGGAATTGATCAAGCTCTGATTTACATAAATAATGTTCTTATTTACATTAGAATAGCCACTGATTCAGAAGTAAGAAATGCCTTACTTGCATCCCAGACCACTTTCTCATCTACCCCTTGGTTGAGGTTGACTTTAAAATATTCTTTCATTATTTTTTTACCTTTCTCTCTTATTTCTATATTGTTTAATAGTTCTTCATTTAATTCCCATCCACAATGTGAGCTCACCTCCCCATGTAAAGTTAACATTATTGAATTATGGTTCAAGAAAGTCCTTGGTAGTATCAGAGATAATTCAGCAGATAATCAGAGATAATGCCAGCAGACCGTCACTTTCCTACCTTCCTGTCCCTTATCATTGTTGTTGTTTTCAAATGCTGTCATGCTTCTCTCTAGTCTGACTAGTCCTTTTGGCTTTCCTTACTAAGTAACTGAATGACTCTGCTTTATTTTCTAAGGTTTTACCACTTATAGGCAAGTAAAACACTTGCCACCAACTCCAGCACATCACTTACCTAGTTATGAGCTCTGGAGGCAGCTCCTTCTCTTCCTCCCAAACAGTCATATCTACAATATATTTTATCACTGAAGGGAACATTTTTCTTGCTTGCGCTATTAGCTCTTCATTCAACTGGCATTCCACGTTCTACAGGGGGGAAAACGCTAATATGAATTAAGAAATCCTGTGCAATATTAATCTGTTGAACATAAGGAACACTCTTCCTCCAACTGTTGTTACAAAAATCTGAATAATGGGAATTTAATAAAAAGCTTAAAAATATATAAATGCAGCACTCTGAAAATAAGTGAGTGGTTATTTATTTATTAAAAAATATTTTTATACCGCCTCTCATCTTAACATACACTCCCATAACAGCAACAAGTACATCATGAAGTGTGAGGTCTTACAATATCTGTTTTCCAATATATTACAGGCAGGTGTGTTACCTCTTCCGTGCTTCCTGCTGCTCCAGGCTCATGATTTGTACACAGCGGTCCAGTCTTCCATGCTTCTGTATCTCCACAATCACAAAAACCTCCTCCAGTAGAAGTGTGCATCTGAAACAATTAAGGCCATCAGATACAAGGTGTTACTATTAGTACAAAAAGCCCTACATGATTTGGAATCAGTTTACCTGAGGGGTCGCCTTCCCCCATACATTCCCACTCAACCACTTCATTCTGTGAAACTGGCACCGTTACAGGTGCCACATAATACTCGTTCCACATTTGTAAGAAATGTCTCTGTGGCATTCCAACAATTTGGAATTCCCTGCCTACAGATGTAAGGCAGGCCTCTTCATTGTACTCTTTTCAAACCTGCTAAAAACAGGCAAATCTACTCAGATACGTAGAATGTTTCCATGTATTTTCATCAGTCTTTCGCTTATCACTGATTTCATTTATTATCTGAATGTTTTAAATAGCTGTTTTTACAAATGACTGTATTGTTTTATCCTTTTTGTAAACCTCTTTGAGGTTCTGGGTGTTGGTTTTGTTACACCGTCAAACAAACAAATAAATATTAAATAAATAAATAAAAATAAAAATTTACACCCAAAGCCCTTTTAGAACGCTATGCTCAACTATGTATTAGCATCATGTGTATGAGCAATAGCGAGCCTCAAACTTGGGTGCCCTACCTCCTCCTCTGGCAGGGCCACAAAGAGATCGTAAGTTTTCACTGGTGTTTTAGAAACATAAGGAAACTTTAGTTTATGGTTTATTCGAAAGAAGCCAAAATCATAACTCAGCATCCCATTTTCCCAGGTGCTCTTCTGACTATGTGTTGGACATGCCATGTTCCAAGCACTGAAACTTTGCCCCATCTGACTCCTTCCACCATTCCCTCCATTTTAGCTTTCCTCACCAAATTCCTTTTGTTCAGAGGTTAGGTGAATTGAGAGGCAGTGGTAGACATAGGCCGAGATGTCACCAGCTAGGCAAACCTTCAATGCAGTCCGAGCAATGTCCACAACAACCGCTGTGATCTACAAAGCTACTGCAGGTGTGTAGAAGGGCTTGGGTATATCACTTTACTTTTTTCTTTCAACAAATCCCCACGCAATCTCACAAATTGATTTGGTAAGTCTTCAATTACAAAAATGGTTTGGGTATGTGACATGGAACCTGCTGTTCAAGAAAAACAAGCCCCCAACCCCTTCTCAATAGTGGAAAAAGTTGCAGTGTTCTTTAGATCTCAGTCTATATGTTAAGAATTCAACTGCTAAGACACCTAGTCAAAGTTTATTAGAAGTCTGGAATTTAGGAAAGCAATTAAACTAGTCCTCCCCAAGTCATAAACTAGTAACTAAAAACATATTCAGAGCCTGAAAACAAACCTATGAATTCGAGTCGTCTTTGCATAACCTTATTTCACTATGTATAACCCTTATTAGAAAGCACAAGGGATTATTTGGATGATTTGCTTAAATTTATTTTTTACCGATGCTTAAACAGATTAAACAATACCTTGGAGCCTGGAGGAATTTAAACCTCTTGACCCAGGGCAGCCAAAGTTAAAATGGTTGCTGTGCCCAGGCTCCTGTTCATTTTCCAAGTGCTCCTTATTTTAATTCCAAGTAAAACTATTAAAGGCTGGCAATCAGCTCTCAACATGTTCATCTTGCAGGCCCGTAAAGCAAAACTTGCTACATCTCTCATTTGCCAAGTCAAGAGCAGGAGGATGGGGCTACCCCAACCTACAAACTTATTTTGATGTGATGCAGTTATGCCAGATGATCCCACAGTTAACCACTGATGACGTTAAATGCTGGATTGCCATCGAGAGCCCGGCGTCAACTTCCTGGCTGGCTGCTCTCCCTTGCCAACCAAGATTATGGCTGTTATGGCGAAACCTGGGAAACTAGTTGTATGCTGAGTGTCTGGTGTAGATGGAGAGGGAAGTTGGTTTCCTCTCCATCTTCACTGACTCCCTCGCCTTTTCTTCCTCAATATAAGGAAGTAGACAAACTAGCCTTGTGCAACAAGTTGCGAGAGCAAAAAATAGATTCGTTGAGCATCAAACATATCTCTCATTTTATTAAAGATGAGGAATTACAGACTGGAGGCAGATCTTTGAAGAGATTTGAATCTCAGGGTATCCAAGGGTTCTCAGAAGGGACTTGTTTCAACACTTTATGCTCTGGCTTCTAGACTTTCAATTTTCTCCCTTTGAAAACCTTTGATTAGCATGGGGAGGCTGATGTAGCCTTAGAAATCGATCTCTCACAATAGTCTATAATGTGGTCCTCTAAACCTTTCATTTCAGTTTCAGCTCTGGTAGGGAAAATTCATTAAATACAGAAATGGTTTTTACCTCAGTACGTTTAAGCCATGTGCTAAAAGGGTACTTCCCATTTTGTTGGTGGAGTTGCAATGTGAAAGGCTCAGTGGTTTTTGAACTCAGCACCATCACCAGACCAAAGATCTATAGGTCTATCCAGGTTGTGCTTACTTTCCACATTTGTGAGAGATAATTCCAATTTACATAGCAAGATACTGATAACTCATTTGCTAACAGCTGCCCCTTTAGTCGCGACTCAAGGCTGGAAAGACCCTTCTATGTACTCTATTACAAACTGGTTATAAAAAGCTTTACTTATAGCCACAACAGAGAAATTGACCCACCAACCCCAGGTTCTCAGAGGGGAAGTGGACCCACTGGACTTCACAACTGTCTGGTGGTTTTTTGTAGCTTGTTTAACAACACAGTCACACAAATGAGAAATTCCATCTAGGTTTGATTTCATCTGGTGCTGTTTTTGATTAGATGAGTTTTTGATTCGCTGTTTACATCTTATCTTGGAATACTGTCACACTGCTTCTTTTGTACAAGTTTTTTAAAAATATTATTCTTTCTATTTTATGTCTCTTTACCTTTCATTGAATTCTTGAAATAATCTCTTAGTCTTGCTTATTATATATTTAATAAAATAATAAAAGCAAGTTTACAAAAGAAAAGAAAATGCTCTAGCAAATTATTGTGAAGCATACATTTTATTACCTTGTAACGGTGGTTTTTGTGAATGCTGTTCTGGAAACAATCCATGCAGAGTACACAAGTTGGATCAATTGCACAGTCTCTGCAACGAAAGTAAGAAACCACTGTATAACCATCCACTCCAAAACACCACAAACCTCCCATATTCCAGCAACGTTGGTAGCAAAGTTTTAGACACTCTATTCATTTTCAGTCAAAGTATGAACATTACAAATTCAATATTAATATTTTGGCTTAAATATTAGGTGCAACTATTTAACATGGAACTGCAGTTTGTTCAGAAGTAAAGGCAAAAGCTTTCACTCTCTTGTTCATGAAGAAGCGGAAATGTTGCAGCCCCAAGGCTCACCAAGACTTGTCTCCATGCACCTGAACTACGGTTCAGTTCTCTATCAAAACTGAGTCACCATGTTATAACAGCAGTCAAGTTATTGTAAAAATATTTATTATTTTAAAAATATTTAGACCCTTCATGCTCACAGATACCAGGTGGTATATAAACTATTTAGAAGCAGTTAAAACAACATAGCAGACTAACCAACATGAACTACACAAACTGCAACTTAACATGCATAAAGGTTTGACCTAGTGCCTAAAAATCGTGAAGTCAGTGCTAGCCATGCCTCTACAGGGAGAGTACTTCAAACTCAGGGCAGCACAGAGTAGGCTCTCTCCCTTTTTGTTATATAATGTACTTCCCCTAGCAAGAGTACACAGAGAAAAGCCTTAACTGAAGATCAGAGAATCAGAGTTGGAATAGACCACAAGGGCCATCGAGTCCAACCCCCTACCAAGCAGGAAACAGATCTTGAGACTCCAGTAGGTTGATATAAAGAGAGGCACTCCTTCAGGTATTTGAACCTTCGGCCTTAAAGTTAAATGGCAGTATCCTGCATAGGGCTTAGAAGCAAGTAGGTAATCAATGCAGTTTTTGCAAAATAAATATAATGTGATTCAGCCTAGTTACACTAGTTAAAAGTCTGGCAGCCACATTCTGCGCTACCTGAAGTTTCCAGGTTGTCTTCCAGGGAAGCCCCACCTACAAATGCATTACAACAGCAACAGACAGCTGCAGCTCTACACCTCACTGGGAGCTGGAGGACTAGATGTAAGTAACAGGGGTTTTCTCAACTCCCCATGTCCCAGGCCCAGCTGCTGTGCCCATGTCTTTTAAATGGAAGTTTATCTGCTTTTACCATTGTTTTCCATTTTATTTTAAGTTGCAAGACTCCCCTCTTCCCCTATCCCTGTTATCGCTTGCCCTTATATGACTATTACCTTGTACTAGTATCCACAGAAAGTGCAAACGTATTAGAAATACGTGATGCACCAAATCTATTTTGCAATCTGCATGTTGCTGTGTCACATTACAGTAGGAAATACTGAAGAGCAAGAGTGTAATTATTCACCTGCATGAATATGTTGTCTCTCCACCTTTGAACACCTTTCCACAGAGCTGAGGAGTGCCACTCTGCCGTAGCTTCTCTAGACAGATATCTGGATCTTCACCGAACAGATACCACTCCAGAGGGTAAAGTATGGTCATCTGAGCTATTTCCTCCTCCTTCTCTGGCAAGGGATCCATTTCATCAAAATAAATGTCCGGAACAACTTTTGCCAGATGCTGAAGAAAGGCAGTATGGAAGTCAAGCTTCTCGTCCCACCACTGCAAGAAACACAAAAGTATACTTAGACATTGGCGGAGGGGCCTGGATAATCGGAGCACATGAACAGGCATTCTTTCATGTATCATGATCTCAAGTTAAGCTGTACAGGACTTTAAAGAGAAAAGTAACTGCTTTGAATTGTACTTGGAAAGAGGCCGGTAATCAATGAAGATGCTTAAGAACTGGCGATATATGTTTCCATCTTTCAGTCCTGGACAAAAACTCTGAAGCTGCCATTTCCAAAAGCATTCAGGAGCTACAGGCATGAGTTAGCTGTCCTCAGCTCCTCCTTTTCTTCCCCCACCCTCAGATCTTTATAGCTATGAAGCATCCGGAGAAGCTACAAGAGGGATGACTCACATGATACAATACTCTAGAAGCATTTCTCCCATTACAATCAACTTCATCAGCATAACCACACTTTCCTAATAGCGGGCTATAACTGTTCATAACAGGATTACAACTGGCATGCAATATAATAAGTGGGAAAATGCTCCACTTGTAAATCATAGAATTGCAGAGTTGGAAGAGACCATGAGGGTCATCTAGTCCAACCCCCTGTTTCCCAACAAAACCCACAACCCTGAGATTAAGAGTCTCATGCTCTACCATTGCAGCAATGTTAGCTTAAGCCAGGTTGAGCATCACTCTAGCTACAAAAAGTCATAAAATTAGATGCCAGCATGTATACGTGATTTACAAACATACTCTCATATGCCATTCAACCAACATTTCCCCCAAAGGCACCAAGGAATAGTTTCTGATTATGATGATGACAATAATGATGATGATGATTTCTCACCCACTCTTCACCAGAAGGTGCCAGAGCTGGTTACAACACAGTCAAAAGAATACGGCTGATCCCAATATATCAGTTGTTAAAAGACAGATAAAGTAATGGTTTATACATCACCATAGCAAGGATGGGAAAGAGTGCCAGACTGGGTCAGGGGAGACAATGGTTCAATTCCCCACTCAGCCACTCTGAATACCAAGTGCTGAAGGCAAACAATAAGGAAATAATACTTTGTTCATGCTTGGTTGTTAAGTATATCTGAGGCATCTGAGAGTAGGCTAGAGTAAATAAACCCCTGATGTGATCCAGGAGAACACTTACGTTCTCATGACCTGCTACCAAGGGAGAGGTGCTATATGTTTCCTGTTCCACGGAACTTCCATCAAGCCCAGAGATCACATGTGGAACTCCACAGTGTTTGTATTTGTTTTTATATATTCTATACAACTTTTCTTTCATAAAGAGGTTAACATAATTGTAAAGCTGTAACATCTGAAGTACTATGTTACAGCAGTAAAACAATAATAATTACATCATTTAAAACAGCCAACAAATTACAATTTTAAGTACTGCTTGCTGATAATTTTTTATCCTGTTCGTATGGTGGTTCTATTCCCATTTTACCCACCTTGTAAGGCTGGATTGAGAGGGAGACTGACCATCTCAAAGTTACCCAGTTGGCTTTGTGGCTGAGCAAAGATTTAAACCTGACTCTTCCCAGTCGAAGTCCACTGCACCATTCTACCTCACATCTCAAAATGATTCCAGGCTAACATACTGAACACTTGGGAGCAAGGCCTCCACATCAGATTTCAAACAAAAGGCTCATCATTGGACAAACGCATTCTGTTCGATAGTCTGCCCTTGGTTTTTTAGGGTTTAAAATAGTCTTGAAAATTATTCAACAAAAGTTGCTAGGCCACCTGCAGGCATATTAGTCATGTGTGGAACATCAAAGGCCAAAATGAAAAGGCAGCACCTTTTCCTAATAGCTAAATAATAGCCTATAATCAATCCTAGCTCATAAAGCCATCTCTGATTAACACCCTGCCATCCTCACTGAATTATCTGGCACACTGCACAGTACAATCAGTACTTGAAAAAGGGAAGAGGACACAATTCTAAAATCAGCAAGAAAATAAATTACGTGAGATACACCTTGTAATATTTTTCATTTTAAAAGCTCACTGAAAAGCTCACTAGCAAAGACAGGGCAAAGTCCTCCCCTCTTCATTTAGATACATGTTCTCTGCTTCTTACAAAAGCTTCTGATATTGAATTATGTGGAAATGCAAAGTAGAAACATTGAAAAAGTCTAATTTCAATGTAGTTTCTCTGAACCCCTTCAATTTTACTCAAGTTTTGCATCAGTAAAGACAATAAGTATCTTGTTTATTAACTTCTGTATTTTAAAAATAACTATACTCTTATCATGTGCCTTCAGCAGAATCAATATTAACATGCTAAATCCCAAGAGGAAATGCAAAAAAAGTCAATAAACGGGCTAGCACTTTATTTAAATATTGTGCAAGTCTACACGATCCTTTTTAAATCCCATGAGGAAATGCAAAACAAAATCAATACAGGCAACATTTTATTAAGATACAGTATTTCATTTTAATTTCATATTTAACTTGTTATTATTTCCAACACTAGATTCCTAGTGTTGTGCACATCAAAAAACAAAGCTGCTATAAACTGCGGAATCTGCTGTCATCTTCAGACCCATGTTCCAAGATTATTAGTAAGGCTGCAATCCTAAACCTACTTACCTGGGAGTAAATCCCATTTAATTAAGTAGACACGGTTAAGATGCTCTGTAAGGGTCATTAGTGGTTCCAACATCTCTCTTGCCACTGTGTATTACAAAATTGTTCTTCACATGGGATTAATTAGTTAATTAAAGTTAGAGAAGGTTGGCCATCTTCTAGGACAAAGGTCCTCTATACTTAATTGGCAGTGGACCCCACCCAAACTTTTTCAAATCACCCATAATCAATCCCTAAAATGTTGAAGGGTGTGTGATGCTTTGGGATCCCAGATCTGTATGTTGTAGGACTGCGCCCCGGCACAATAATTTTGGCAAAGTGTCTTTTCTGAAATTTCTATTATAATTTATCATAAACTGATATCAGAGGGCAACATCAATTCTGAGATTACTTCTTGGGCTTTGGTTTCCTAGCCAATAGCTGCTGTCAGAATGGAAAAGCTGTCAGGTGGAAAACATGAGGAAATCTTTACATTCCTGGTTTACTCATGTGTAGAAAACAGCACTTTCTGAATGCTTGCCTCAGCGTGGCAGAGGGATAAATGGACAATGTGATAAATGGACAATGTAAGAAGGATAAGTTCTTCAGTACATGGTCATTGTTTACAGATTACATTAGCAAGGCAGTACTGCTACTACAACCGCCTGTAGCACGTGTATTGTTATGGAGAAGCTTAATTTAACCTTAAAATATAATCATATGTACCTTAATTTTACCAACTGAAACTGACATATTGGCAAACTGTACTCCAAGTTTTGTTTTATTTCTGTTTACTGTTCCACTATGGAAAACCAATAAAACAGATTTCTTTCTTTTTTTTAAGTCCTCTCACAAAGTAGCTTCCATAAAAACCAAAACCACAATACACATAGCAAAAAGATAAAATCCAACAACAATAAAATAACTGTAGGAATATAAATAGCAATACCAGAGAAGCATAAAACTATCAAAACCAGCTAAAATACTTAATACCACTTTAGCATCAAATTCATACCAATAATACTACAAAGGTTTCTGGATTTTAGAGGCAGCCCCCCCCCCCCCGAGTGAATTACAGTATTATAGTTAGAGAAGTATGATCTACCACATGAGAAGCCAGGACTGTGTCCCTCCTCTCTAGATATGGTTGCACACAAGCCTAAACTGGCAATCTGAACTCCTAGCCACTGTCACCATCACTGCAACATGTGGTTCCATCTACAATATCAAGTCCAGGAGAACCCTTTCTAGACAAGCTTATCTGGAAACTTCTTTGTGGTTTTTTCAGCACCAGATGAAGACCTTTTAATTCACCCAGGTTTTAAAACTGTTTTAAATCTGGACTGTAAACTGCTTTATGCCGTCTCTAAATGGAACAATAATTATACCTTGTTGGGTTTTAATTATTATTGTATATTCTGTTTTTGATACTTTGTTGTAAGCCCCCTAGGGAATGTTTATTTATGGGCAGCTGTTGTGAATTATAATTATTTAGAATTATTTAAATAAGAAGTAAGTCCCTAGTTGTGAATTTTGTCCTTCAGGGATAGTTCAGAGCTGGTTGCATACCCCCATCTGGATCAATTCATTTCCTTATCCAGAGCAGCCCACATCTTGTCTGAATTAAGCTTCAGCTTGTTCTTCTCATGCACCCTAAAACTTTCTTCAAATACCAGTTCAATAAGTCCATAGCCTCATCAGGATAGAGGGAAGCATGGATTAGACATGCATGCCTTCTGTGTACTGATGACACTGCAACCCAACCAGTATTCTTTTCGCAATCTCATGCCTTGAGCGTGGTTTGAACTACGGAAAGGTGGCATACAAACAAAATTTTGTACGGATGTAAATAACACAGGGCACATGAGAAAACTTTGAGGCACATTCTGAGCCATAGGTATAGAAGTCTCCAGCATCATCTGCCAGGATGAGTCCTCCAGGAGGAGTAGAGCTACTCTAACTCGGAGCTGCCCGAGCTCAAGGCAACAAGAGAACCAATCAGCTTGCACTTCCCATATCCATTCTCCAGCATAAGACATCTGCCAAGGCAACCAAGGCCGTTTCTATTCTAAACACAAGCCTCAACCCAGACTGGAATAGATTCAAATAATTAATATCACCCCAGACCACTTTGAGTGCCTTTCTATTGATGTTTTCCTTTCCCATATCTGATACATATGATAGTTGATAAAGTTATAGTTCCCTTCAAAAATACATGAATCCGTGTCCAATCATCTCCCGCTCACATGCACTTTAAAGAAATAAACAGAATATATGTGTGTGTGCCCTTCTTATTTGACATGGTAAGTTGGACAACACATGTCCCTGGCTGCCTGCAACCCATCTCCCTTTATGCCAATAAATTAGGTTATGATACTGCCACATTTCCTGTTGATAAAGAGGAAAACATTTTGACATGGTATTCACTAAGTTTAGTTGCTCTGGAAGTTCAGACAGCTCAAAAGAGAAAGAAATGGCTGGAACTGGAATGCAGTTTGTTTTGTTTAAATAGAAACTGAAACCAATTTTGAATATGAAAAGTCAATGCTAAACAAGTAGTATATGCACTAACTCAAATAATAATGATCCATTTTAGGTACCTTCTGCTCATTTCTCTATTCCTTTTCACTTCAGGCCTCCAGTCCTCCCATTTTACATTTTCCAGTTTCCTCATGCTATCATTTCACTTCTCTTTCTGCACATTTAGGTCTGCCTATCATTCTGCACATTTGGTTATTACCAGTCCACTTTCTTTTTCAATTTCTGGCTTTTACACATTAACTCCTTTCCGTGAAGAAATCATTTAATGAAAAATACTGTCAAATTTGTTTCACACTATTTCCAAGAATGTCTTGCCTAGGAACACGACATATAAATTCTGGCTACGCTGTTCCTTTTACTCAGAACAGCATATGCACTTCCTGAAAACCCACTATTTCCTTGAACTGTTATTTCATACTGTTAAGCTGCAAGTCCTTGGGTTGTCTATGTATTTTGCCTGTTTACGTGTCAATAGCATCAGTATCAATATGTATTAAACTGATGCACTTTTAGAATGACAGTAGACAGAATAAAACCAAAATTAACTAAAAAAAAAGAACAGTCTGAGCATTACATTTGTTTCTTACATTTGTTTCTTACACCTTGAAAGTGTTTATGAGATTAAATTAATATATCTGGAAAGGGTTAGGTACTTTACTAAAACGTTATCTAGAGAACTGGTGGAGGGGGGGAATGGCATTGCTGGTCACCGCACGGGAGCCATTTGTAAATAAACACACACTATCATAAACATATTTAAAAGAACTATGTCATATCAGACCCCGTGAGTTTGATGTGGCTTAATCTTTTCTTGGTGTCATTGTGGCCTAAAAAGAAAAAGAAAAAAACAATCCACTAAGCCCAACCAGAATTAGGAGGAAGAAGGTAAGATCTTTGGACTCAGCCCTCTTCCTTTCCTCTCTCCCAACTTTACAATAACAAAATCTTCTGCCTGATCACAACCACTGCCCTAGATTAAAACCCTCATTTTAACTGGTAGTGCCCTGCCTGTTCGCGGCTCAAGAGAAGATCTCAAGACCGGGAGAGAGGAGGGGACGCTCACATTTAAGACAACAGCTGCGGCTCATAGCAAGTCGCCTGTTTTAGACACCATAAGGATCGCGAAGCAAAGGTCCTAATTCTTGCCGGTCATTTAAACGGGAGCATGCATGCTGTGTGGCACACCGTGCAGGTGTCCACTTCCAACACCTGACAGAGGGGCAGAGATTAACCGTTTGCAGAGCAGCGGGCAATTGGGGATTAGCAGGAGCCAGACCCCCAGCACTTCTGGAGAAGAGCCCCTTCCAGAAATGCAAGGAAGCAGCCGGCAGCCCCGTGAATGCGAGCGACGTGGGGCGTTGTTACCCGCGAGGAACAGACTCCCCCCTTCCTACGGCACAAGCTGACGGGGAGGCTCCCAGCGCCCAGCCCACAGGGCTGCCAAGCCCACGCGGCGGCGGCGGCGGCGGCATCTCACCCTGGCCAACTCCGAGGGTTTCGCAGCGGGGGCAGCGCCTCCCGCTCCAGCCATCCCTCCGGCTCCGTCGCCTGCGTCCGCCATCTTAGGAGACCTGCCAATCTCCAAGCCGAGCCCCGCCGCGGCCCCACCGGAAACCAGCTGCGGGGGGGGGGAGGAGCGGCGGAGGGGGGGATTCGCCCAAAAGACTTGACCCGACGCCCAGCGCTGGAAACCGAGGCGAATTTGGACCTGGGCGACACTGAGCATGCGCGGGAGATCGCACACGCATGCTCAGGAGAACGCTCCTCCACTGCCGGGAGAGGAGGGCGCCGGTGCAGCTACGGCTTGTCAAGCGGGCGGGAGGTGCAGAGCGCGAGGAAGTGGCGCTTTTAAGCTCTGTGTTTCATTAGGGGAAGCTTTTCTACGACCTGCATAAGCTTCCGTCCGGCACACACATATTTGGAGGCAAAGGAGACAACTTGAATAAAATATGGGGGGGGGCACATAAAGCCCCTTCTCCATAATCAATCGCAGGACGCGGCGCACTTGCACCATTCAATTTCTTTGGGGGGCGACCCCCTCAAATATTTTATTGGGGTAGGGGGGCAGTGCCGGATTTACGTGTAAGCTAAACAAGCTATAGCTTAGGGCCCCACTCTCCTGGGGGCCCTAAAAAAAATTAAAGGGGAAAAAAACTATTCATTGTATTTCAGTTCAACAATTACTTTGAAAAAATACATATTTTGTTTTTTTTTATAAGATATTTATTAAGATTTTCAAGATATTACAAAATAAAAATAGAAAAAAGAAAAATACAAAATAAAAATAGTTAAAAACAACTCAATCTTTCCATCACTTATTTTTCATTAGCTTGTTTCCCAGACCTCACGCCTCCCTTTTTTTTATTCCAGTTCGGTTTGTTGGTTCAGCAAATCCTTCCCCTCTTTGTTTATCCTAATCTTTAATCTTAAAATATTGTAACGTTAAATTTTTACCTGTTAGTAATCCATTTTTCATATTCCCTTATAGTATTGCAGCTAAAAACCACTTAATTTCTATCCAACATCATTCTAACATTCATTAATTTTACAATATTTCTGTAAATAATCTTTAAATTTCTTCCAATCTTCTTCCACCAACTCTTCTCCCTGGTCTCGGATTCTGCCAGTCATTTCCGCCAGTTCCATATAGTCCATCACCTTCATCTGCCATTCTTCCAGAGTGGGTAAATCTTGTGTCTTCCAATACTTTGCAATAAGTATTCTTGCTGCTGTTGTGGCATACATAAAAAAAGTTCTGTCCTTCTTTGGCACCAATTGACCGACTATGCCCAGGAGAAAGGCCTCTGGTTTCTTCAAGAAGGTATATTTAAATACCTTTTTCAATTCATTATAGATCATCTCCCAGAAAGCCTTAATCCTTGGGCACGTCCACCAAAGGTGAAAGAATGTACCTTCAGTTTCTTTACATTTCCAGCATTTATTATCGGGCAAATGATAGATTTTTGCAAGCTTGACTGGAGTCATGTACCACCTGTATATCATTTTCATAATATTCTCTCTTAAGGCATTGCATGCCGTAAACTTCATACCTGTGGTCCATAACTGTTCCCAGTCAGCCATCATTATATTATGTCCAACATCTTGTGCCCATTTAATCATAGCAGATTTCACCGTTTCATCCTGAGTATTCCATTTCAACAGCAAGTTATACATCTTTGACAAGATCTTAGTTTTGGGTTCTAACAGTTCTGTTTCTAATTTTGATTTTTCCATCTGGAAGCCAATTTTCTTGTCCGAATTATATGCCTCCATTATCTGATAATAATGAAGCCAATCTCGCACTTTGTTTTTTAGTTTCTCAAAACTCTGCAATTTCAGTCTATCTCCCTCTTGTTCCAAAATTTCCCAATATTTCGGCCATTTGGCCTCCATATTGAGCTTTTTCTGTGCTTTTGCTTCCATCGGTGACAGCCACCTTGGGGTTTTGTTTTCCAATAAATCCTTATATCTTATCCAGACATTAAACAATGCTTTCCTGACAATATGATTCTTAAATGCTTTATGTGCTTTGACCTTATCATACCACAAATATGCATGCCATCCAAATACATTATTGAAGCCTTCTAAATCCAAAATGTCTGTGTTTTCAAGAAGCAGCCATTCTTTCAGCCAGCAAAAAGCTGCTGATTCATAATAAAGTTTAAGGTCTGGCAGGGCAAATCCACCTCTTTCCTTTGCATCCGTTAATATTTTAAATTTTATTCTGGGCTTCTTGCCCTGCCAGACAAATCTAGAGATATCTCTCTGCCACTTCTTGAAGCAATCCATTTTGTCCACAATTTGCAATGTTTGAAACAAAAACAACATTCTAGGCAATACATTCATTTTTATCGCAGCAATACAGCCTAGCAATGAAAGCTTCAAATTTGACACACAAAAAATAAAAAATACATATTTTGTTGCGTGCAAATGACTTTAGATACCTATGAGGTCCATAAATTACTGTATAGCATATATTCAACACAAAAAATAGTGACAATTTGTTGTTGACAAAGGACAGTTGGACATAGAAAGGGCCCCTTTAGTAGCTTAGGGCCTCATCAAACCTGAATCCGGCCCTGGTAGGGAGCCAGTGTCCCTAGGAGTTGCCTATGTTTGAAGGGAAAAGGTCAACTGAACTTAGAATCATAGAATTTGCAGCGTTGGGAGTGACCTCAAGGGTCATCTACTCCAACCCAGGAGTGAAACTAGCCTTTTTTTCACCTGGGGCAAAGACCCAGTTTGGCACACACCCACACCCACACCCCATGTCTTACTTTTAAAAGACAGCCCTGTTTAGGGAAGTTTTTAATGTTTAAAGCTGTATTGTGTTTTTAATATTTAGGAAGCTGCCCAGAGTGGCTGGGGAAACCCAGCCAGATGGGTGGGTATAAATATTATTATTATTATTATGCATATTATTATTAAAAGTGAGGTTACAGGGAACCAGGCAGAGGGCCTTCTCGGTAGTGGTGCTCACTCTGTGGAATGCCCTCCCATCGGATGTCAAAGAAATAAACAACTACTCGACTTTTAGAAGACATCTGAAGGCAACCCAGTTTAGGGAAGTTTTTAAAGTCTGATGTTTTATTGTGTTTTTAATATTTTGTTGGGAGCTGCCCGGAATGGCTGGGGAAACCCAGCCAGATGAGCAGGGTATAAATAAATTGTTATTATTATTATTCACATTTGTGCGCCCACGCACACACAGGCTGAGAACCTCCATGGTTCCCTTCTGGAGGCTTCAACCTGGAAGCTGCAATCCTATATCCATTTACACGCAAGTAGGCTTTATTGAGTTTATTGGGTCTTTCTGCCAAATAAATCTTAACTATGATGGACTTGTGATTGACCAGATTGTGCTGTCAAGAGTTTTGTGACTGGTCTATCCAGCAACTCAAATTGAAGTTACCAGCTACAATCTAGGGGCAATGAGAACTTCACCCACCTCCCTGGTCTTGAAACTCACAGAGATTTCAAAACTAATTTGTGATGAGGTCTGCTATTCAAATTAAAATACCAGGCACCCTTCAAGCTTTCCAGATTCCAGCCGCTTTGGCACCATATCCTCAAGCCTTCTCTTGCGACATTTACTGCTATTCCTTTAATTTAAACTGATTCACAGCCTGAAGCCATCAAAGCAGTGTACAAGCAAACCGTTTCTACAACAGAAAATGTTTTCCCCCCTTGCTTTTCAGGAGTATGCTACTGCTCATGGGCTTAGCAGCTGCCTAACCCTAAATCAAGTAAGGTAAAGGGACCCCTGACAGTTAAGTCCAGTCCCGAATGACTCTGGGGTTGCGGTGCTCATCATGTGGCCAGCATGACTAAGCCGAACCCTAAATCAAGTAAATAAATAAAAATATTTAACTAAAAGAAATTGTAGGAAGATTTTGACAGATTTGTCTGAGCACTGAGGGTCAAAAGGAAGTAATTTTAAACAACTGTTGCTGAGGCACTTCATTCTGAATTTGCACAGAATGATGGCAGGTGGGTCTCCTGCCCCCTCCCCAAATCCTCGCTCCGCCCCTGCTGTATGTTGCTGCAAAAGCAGCAGCAGCAGCAGTTCCCCCAAGCGAGGGTTGAGTCCTGAAGTCAGGTACGGGAGACACTCGGCTTGGGAAAGGAAGCGCCCGTGCGGGAGGCGCGCCCATGCATCCATGCCGCACGCAGCCCTTTGGACCGGTCCACCGCGGCTCGCAGCCTAAGCAGCTTCTGCACGGCCGGGACGGGCGCTTGTCGCTTCACCTCGCGAGCTCTGACGGCGGAAGCGGTTCTCCAATGGAGCCGAGGAAGGGAGGGCCTAACCGAACACGGCGGGGCGGGTGGGCGGCCGCCCTACCCTTCAAGTGGGCCGAGGCGGAAGCGGACGGCTTTCCCCGCCGCGCTTCGCCTCAGCAAGGACCGGCGGAGGTTTGCTCTCGCGTGCATGACAGCGAGCTGGTGGAAAATGCTGCGCTTAGCTGCCGGGCTCTTGGCGGCCGCCCTCGCTGCGGTGCTGGTGGGCTGGCACAGCCCTTCGGGGCCCGAGCAGTTGCGGCGCCAGCCTCGCTCCTTCTCCTCGCAGCCGGCGCCCGGAGCCGAGGCCAACAACCTCTTCTGGATAATTCAGGCGAGTCGAGCCGCCTCGTGACCCTTTCGTGAACTCCGGGGAGACAGACACGCGGCCCCAGCGCCCCGTGAGAAGGGTGCCCTGCGGGGAAACCGCGGCAGCACTTGGGGTTTAATTCTTAAGGCAAATCATGATCATACCTGTTATAGATGATAACTATCCAAAAGTCGCACTGTGTTTTTCACCTATGGTTTTCCTCTTTTCAGAATCGAAGGGGTTAAAGGCACAAATAAACTGGTGTATTGGATGGGGGGGGATGCAGGCTGTTGCTGTGAGGCCACTAATGAATGGCAAATAGTTATTCTGATAACTGAGATCAGGAAACTACATTAATGCGCAGAGAGGTTAGATTTGCCTTGGCATGGATATGCTTTGTAACAGGCACAAGGCTTGCCAAGTTCTGATAAGTGAGATCAGAAACTGGCATTAATGCATTGAAAGGTCTGACTTGTGGGTTTGTCCACACTTTTGCTTGTCCCATATGGACATAGCCAGGATTTATTTTAGGAGGCGCAGGCTTTATGTTTGGGGGGGAGGAGAACCGAAATATCCACAACACAACCAGTTAAGTATTTCTATTTATTTACTTGATGGGGGGGCAGTTGCCCTCCCTGAACCCCCTGGCTATGTCCATGTTGTCCCATAATTAAAAAACACAGGTCTGAGCAGTTTTCCCTTTGCCCCGCCACTTTCCCCCAGAAAACCTGTTCTTTAGTGCTAAATCAGAACAAATGGCAATAAGTAGAAAACCTGATTGCCATTTGTTCTGATTCAGTGATAAACTGCAGGTTTCCCCTGGGAACAGGGGCAGGACAAACAGAAGTGTGGAGAAGTCCTATGTTTGCAATATGTATGAAATAGTAAGCTGTTAGATGGGTATGTTGCATGGGTAGACCTTGCTCTGGTGAGGATATGTCAGGTGAACCTCTGTTATATGTTCACATGGTGCTAGGACAGCCAGTTTTGCTGGAAATAAAAACTGTAAAAGGCTATTGATAATTTACATAGCTAATGGAGATGAATTAAAAAAAT